AGGATTAAATTAATCCGTAGATCCATGCATAAGATGGAGATCAATGCTGGATCCCAAGATTAACCACACAAAAGTTTTGACTCCAATAATGATAAAATTGACAATATCTAAAAAGATGAAAATAAAACTTGATCAATATTGTGACGAACTAAAAGGCCGACTAGGGAGAAAAATTTGAGAGTTAACAGGGGTGGCTTAATCATTTATTTTGTTCAAAATTTAAATCATTATGAATACTTTCCTTGATATTTTGAAACTAGCCTGAAAACCCATGGCACTGCTTGAAAGCTAAACTTTACAAAAAATCAACAAAAAACATTTCCGTTGTTTTACCGAACCGAGTTCCCCAATAACAAAACAAACAAACATCCAAGCAGTGGTTACTACTTTATTTTATACTAGCTGAAGGGCTCGGCGTTGCCCGTGGAGAAAAAAAATTTTTGAAATAAAAATATTTAATGAAAACAAAAACTGAAAAATAATTTTCGATTTTTTGTCCTGAAACAACCCCCGGCCACCCATGAGTGTCCACACAAAATTTCAGCCCATTCGGTCAAGCCGTTTGGCCGGCTATCGGTGACATATATACGAATGTCTTGTTTTATTATATAGATTTAGTTTGGGAACCCAGCTTAGCCTGGACACAAATTTTTACCTGTATGCGTCAACCAACCTACTTAACTTAAAAACAAACAAACCAGACAAACTAAAAAGACTTTAATACTTTATTATACATAAGATATATAATATAAAAATGCACCAAAAACTTCCTGACTCCTGAATATAGTAGAGATGTACTATATGTATGGAAGTGTATAATAATATTCCCTGTTTTGGCCTTAACCAATATTATGTAATTAAACCCAGAAACTTGGCCATCTTAGCCTCTTCCCCCCGCCCCCTGCACCCTTTCCCTATATCTGCAACCCCCATCCCTCTCTCTACTAACCTCCCATTAGGCCCTCCCCCCCGTCCTACCTTTCTGAAGGTTTTTTTTTTAAATCATGCAGGGTTTTTTTCTGCTAAATCAAATATCCAGAATTTTTATGTTTTTTATTTCATATTTTTTTGCTGGTTCATGCTGTTTAAACCTAAAGGATGAACAGACATTTTCATTTTGAGATCAAAGGTTGTCTTTTGTGCAATATGAGATATATATATGTATTTTACAATCTGATAGAAATATAAAGAAAAATAGACTGCAGTAACAGTCTGCAGTCTTCAGACATTAAACTAATTATCTTACAGAGTCAAGAACTTTGCAAAAAAGAAATTCGGACTAAAAAATCCCGAGTCTGTTATTGGAAACCAAAATCATGTTTCAAAAACCAGTATCTGGTATTAAAAACCAGAATCTGGTGTTAAAAACTAGAGTCTGGTATTGAAAATCAACGTCTGGTATTGTAACCAGAGTGTGGTATTAAAAACCAGAGTTTGGTATTAAAAACCAGAGTTTGGTATTGGAGATCATGTAGTCGTCTAGTGTCGAAAACCAGAAACCAGAAAACCAGTCTGGTATTGGAAACCAGAATCTAGTATTTGAAACCAGAGTATTGTGTTGGAAACCAGAGTCTGGTATTAATTAAAAACCAGAGTCTGGTATTATCGAAACCAGAGTTTGGTATTGGAAACCAGAGTCTGGTATTGGAAACCAGAGTCTGGTATTGGAAATCAGAGTCTGGTATTTGAAACCAGAGTCTGGTATTGGAAACTAGAGTCTGGTATTGGAAAACAGAGTCTGGTATTGGAAACCAGAGTCTGGTATTGGAAGCCAGAGTCTGGTATTGGAAAACAGAGTCTGGTATTGGAAACCAGAATCTGGTATTGGAAACCAGACTCTGATATTGGAAACAAGAGTCTGGTATTGGAAACCAGAGTCTGGTATTGGAAACCAGAGTCTGGTATTGGAAACCAGAGTCTGGTATTAAAAATCTAATGTAACCCACAAATATTCTGGCAAAGAAAACAATGATGCAATTTTTGAAAAGCTCTAAATTCATCAATGGAAGTCAAAATAGAGACTTAAAAACATGTTGATTCAAAGATTGCAATCTCTTACGTAGACACCAAAAAACCCAAAAAACCTAGTAATTAATACAAAATCGGGATTTTAAAACTTAAACGTTTTGAAAACAAAATGGTGGTATAAAAATGATATAAAACATTTTACATTTTAAGTTCTAATTTTCTGAAAATGCCTTCAATTTGGCTTGTGCAAACATAGAATGATTATGATCATAATCATGTTGAATAAAAACATCTAAATATTACTTTAAATTGAAATTATGTGCTTTTATTAAGCTTTCACAGACTTGTTGGCTGTTCTACCCTAGAGTGGAAAAAAACCGATGACGATGTATAGTAATTGGTCTTATCCAAGGCACAGAGAGTAAGGCAACTATAAAAAATGTTTAACGATTTGTCAAGACTTGGTCGTCTTTGTAGAGGCACAAAGCATTGGCTTTTGGTTTAACCTTAGTAACTCACTAATACAGTTTTGTAGCCTTAGACATTTGAAAACTAATATAATATTGTTTTTCTCTTCAGATAAAAAGTAGTAATTGGCAAAATGCTAACTGCTTTTTGTTTGAATGGGTGCAAAGTACATATGTTGGATTAAGGTACGTAATGAAGTTGTATAAAACTTTGAGCCGTTGTTTAGTATCATTTACTAGGATTTTTTACTTCTTAAAATCTTAATCAATTTCTATGGTTGATCTTATTTAGAAAATATCAGGGTATAGAGAAAATTGTTTTTCCTTGGAGACCCTGTGCATAAATCTTTCCCTAGCATATCGTGTAAAAGCTGTAAACAAGATTGAGTTTATCTGTGTTTTATTTTGTTGACGGGAATATTTATGGTTTTGTTTAGAACCTTGAGTTTAAATACAGGGTTAAATACTCCACAAAGGATGAGACCTTTGAGACGACTGTGAGAAAATCATACCGTCACTTTTCAAGCATTAAGGGACGACTTGTTGGGGCGGGGTATTGAATATTGAATAATTAGACATTGAAAAGCAACTTTCTCATTCTTTTTGATACCTTTACCCCAAAACTAATTGATTTTTCGTTATAAATTGTAGGTCTAAAATAAAGGCTCGTCCTTTGTGGGCATAATCAACACTTTTCCACAATTTGAGATTAACTATAATTAAACGAATCAAAGTTTTGTAATAAATCATTTCAAACCTAGCAAAGTTATTAAGAAACCAGAGGCCTGAACTTTTGATCAGTATCCTTTGTACGTTCTACGGATTAAGTTAATTCCTTTTAAATATTTCTAAAAGAACAAGATAATATAGTTAAAGCAAAGGAGAGGTCGCATAAAGAGAATGTAAGCGTAATTTCAGGTAACGCTTTATGCCCCATTTAAACAACATTTTTATTCAGATTAAGATTTCCAGGGTGCAGTTGTAATTAATTGGGTATTGTCATTTTGCATGAAGGTTTACTTGAAATAACATTTATAGTCCCATGCAATTAGACTGTTTTTCTCCGGATTTCTAATTAAAAAGATTTTTTATAAGTCCTACACTATATATGCAATATATTGTTTTTTTTTTCTGAATTCAATATATCAAAAATGTAATTTGATATTCTTATCCGAAAATTGCTATAATATTGGAAAATTTTAAACTTGACATAAGTTTTACAAATATATATTCTAATATAGCAGAAAATAATTGAGAATATACCGATATTTAAAAAAATATTTATTTTGAAAAGTGTACAGAGAAAAGACTTAAGTTTTTTTTAGGGGATGGGTTGGGGGGAGTTCATAATGTGCATACTTAAAATAATATAATTGAGAGGGAATCAAGTGATTCTAAGTGTTTTTGCTTCTATATAAACCATATTTAAATTATTAAACAAATCGGAGCAGCAAAATATGATCAAAAATGTATATGATTGTATAAAGAGTTTGGTAACTGCTAAACAAAGAGATTGTAAAACTATCAGATAAAGAGGTTGAACAACTAATAAATAATGTGATTGAATAACTGTTAAATAATGGAGCGTATAACTGTTGAATAAAAAGAGTGTATAATGGTTAAATAAAGGAATTGTATATCTGTTAAATAAAGGAATTGTATAACTGTTGAATAAAGGAATTGTATACCTGTTAAATAAAAGAATTCTATAACTGTTAAATAAAGGAATTGCATAACTGTTAAATACAGGAATAGTGTAAACTGTTAAATAAAGGAATTGTATAACTGATAAATAAAGGAATTGTATAACTGTTAAATAAAGGGAGTGTTTAACTGTTAAATGGTGGGAGTGTATGACTGTTAAATTAAGTTACTGTATTACTGTTAAATATGGGAGTGTATAACTGTTAAATAAAGGAATTGTACAACTGTGAAATGAAGGGAGTGTATAACTGTTAAATGGTGGGAGTGTATGACTGTTAAATTAGGTTACTGTATAACTGTTAAATAAGGGAGTGTATAACTGTTAAATAAAGGAATTGTATAACTGTGAAATGAAGGGAGTGTATAACTGTTAAATGGTGGGAGTGTATGACTGTTAAATTAAGTTTTTGTATAACTGTTAAATAAGGGAGTGTATAACTGTTAAATAAAGGGATTGTATAACTGTTAAATAAAGGATTTGTATAACTGTTTAATAAAGGGATTTTATAACTGTTAAATAAGGGAGTGTATAACTGTTGAATGAAGGGAGTGTATAACTGTTAAATAAAGGAATTGTATAACTGTTAATTAAGGGAATTGTATAACTGTTAAATAAATGGATTGCATATAACTGTTAAATTTGAAGGGATTTTATAACTATTAAATAAAGGTATTGTTTAACTGTTAAATAAAGGAATTGTATAACTATTAAATAAAGGTATTATTTAACTGTTAAATAAATGGATTGTATAATTATTAAATTAGGGGTTGTAAAACTGTTTAAATAAGTGGCTTGTTGTAAAAAATGAACTCTAAAATTGTTGTAAAAAGAACTTGTAAAGATGTTAAGAAACTGACCTCTTGTCCGGCGTTTTTAACAAAGTATTCCATCCTAAGGTGAAGGTAGGAAGATGTCTGATCAGTACTGCATTGACACTTTAGCTCCTTACTGTAACCCTGCAGTACATTTAGATTTAAACAATATATGTAAACAATAGATGAAAAAAATAGATGTGGAAAACAGATGCAAGCAATATATGTAAACAATATATGTAAAGAATAGATGTAAACAATAGATGTAAACAATAGATGTTAACAATAGATGTAAACAATATATGTGAGCAATATATGTAAACAATATATTTAAAAAATAGATGTAAACAATAGATGTAAGCAATATATGTAAACAATAGATGTAAGCAATAGAAGTGAAAAACAGATGCAAGCAATATATGTAAACAATATATGTAAAAAATAGATGTAAACAATAGATGTAAACAATAGATGTAAGCAATATATGTAAACAATAGATGTAAGCAATAGATGTGAAAAACAGATGCAAGCAATATATGTAAACAATATATGTAAAAAATAGATGTAAACAATAGATGTAAGCAGTAGATGCAAGCAATATATTTAAACAAAATATGAAAACTAGATGAAAACAATAGATGTTAACAATAGATGTTAACAATAGATGTAAACAATGTATGTAAACAATAGATGTAAACAATAGATGTAAGCAATAGAGGTAAACAAAAGATGTACACAATTGATGTAAACAATAGATGTAAACAATAAAAGTAAACAATATATGTAAAAAATATATGTTAACAATAGATGTAATCAATAATAATTTACTTATAATTACTTTAAATTCATCTTTTATCTTCGAAAGCTGTCACAAAGTGTGTATCAAAGAAGGTTGTATGTCAGCAGAAGTTGCAGTATTTGCTGATTATTGTTCAAGAATCAAGAATCATGATTTTGGATTCAAGAATAAAAGATGTAACAACACATTTTATCTCTATATATTCTTTTCACAAAATTGTGTTCGGTAGCATTTTGCAAACAGATTGAAATACATATCTAATATTTGGTATGTTTTTTTACTTATTCGTTATGATAGCTGTTCTTTTGCAGTCTGATATTTGAAAACGAAAAATTCGATATTATTTAGATTTTGCCCTTCTACGTGTACATCTATACAACAGCATATATGTATATATATAAAGGGTGTAATTTATGCAATGTTTATCATAAACCAATATTCATATATTAGATATACAAATATTCATCATTCAACCTTTCAGATATTATATTCATCATTCACTCATAAGATGTTAAATAAATATTTTTTTAAAAAAATTTTATATTACCTCGTCCCCCGTTCTTTACGGGTTTTTATTTAAATCGGTTTATGGGGGAAAACTTTTATTTTATAAAGAATGAGATTTAACTCTTTAAAGGGTATGTCAACGTGACCACCGATTGTGACATACTCGATTTCCTCCGGTTCTCTTTCAACCATTGTCGGAGAAAATATGAGAAAGGTAATATAGTTTTTACGGCACGAATCCATTAATTTCGGTTACTACAATACCAATAAACTTGTGAATTTGAAGCGGGCTTGAAAATTGTCAGATGACAGATGACAGATGTGAATAAAAAAGATTGTACGTCATGTAAAATTTAAAAAAAATGGTCTACTTTTTTTGACGAAGAGATTAAATATTTAAACAATTTTTATGTTATCTAATAAATTTAAAGGAATTGAGTCTTTGCCATGTCTGATGATGATGATGTAAACCTTTGATATTTCAAACTTGGATTATTTGATCTAACAGAATTCATAGTTTAAATAACTAAGGTCTACGACCTTGGTTTGCAACTTGCAAAAATAGAAAATCTGAGTTTGTGGCAAAGACTGAATTCCTTCGAACAAATTCTCAATATATCCATCATTGATTTTATTGGTACCCTAAAAGTCGTTTGGTTTATCAAAAATGAATATAAATATTCATTTTTTATTTCTTTAAAACTTATTTATTTCAAATGTTCGACTTCTCTTTAAAATTAAGTGATTTGAGTAATTTTGCTACAGAGACAGCGAATGAAATGGTCAAAATCAAAGCGACTTTTGACGAACATTACCGACCTATGATTAAGTTACTTAACGTCCCTTGGGACAATTCAGTAAAATAACGACCTTCTCGCCAAGTTTTTGATAAAAAAATCGCGAATTTTCATTTTAAAAGACAATACAATTTATAAATAATAATAGATAATTATACTTTTTCGAGAAATTAAAAACTACTTAACCACGTGTTCTCTCGAACAATTTTGCCAACAAAAACAAATCTCGCTGTGCTCTGGATGTTTCATTAGCAAAATTAGTCTTTGGAACACTTGGTCAAGTAAAATTCTCTTAACTTCCTTGTAAAGTAATTGTAAATGATTATTATTTCCCTGTAGAGTTAAGATACATAACTACTTAATTTTAAGGATTCTTTAATCTAGTCCAATTACTAGTTTTTCAATCAATATTTATTTATTATCAGAATATTAATATTTTATTTTCTTAATCCAATAATCAAAAATTACGGATTCAATTAAAGAAAATTGAAAATAATTTTCAAAAATATAACAGTTTATTGAAAACATTATCTTAATAATCAACATTTTCGCCAAAAATAACATCATTGAGAATATGCATCTGTTCTTTGTACTTAATTTTACAAATAATAATTTTTTAGAAAATTATTTGTAATAATAATACAATTGTACATAATAATAATTCTCTATATTATGCTGAATAAGCTCCATGCTCTCCTCTAATCTCAGAGAATGGATAAAATCTATAACAGGGTGACTCTATAAACATGAGTATAAAGTCACGACCTTAAAATCGTCATTCGTATCGCAGCATTTATTTGTAAACCTGTAACAGAGCACATTTCTTTCTTTAACCCTTGAGTTTTCAAAGTTATGTTTCGGTATTCTTTAAAAGACTAACATTTTAAAAGCTTTAAAATCGTTCACAAAAATATTTACTTTCCTAAACTATTAAAGATCAAAGAAGAATTTAAAAACCCATCATGAAATCAATACATTACACGTAAAGGTTTGCATTCTTTTGATTTTAAAAAATTAGTTTTGGTTGGATACAAGCAATCTTTACAGAAAAAAATAACTAATTCTAAAGAAGGGGGCAGATGGGGGGGGGGGCGACCAGCATTTTACCTGATAATAACAGGATTGCTGTTGAAACATGGTAACCCTACTTCTGCTTTCATCCACGAGAAGTAGGACTGATAAAACCAGAAACAGGAACATCTATAAAAGTAGAATAAATATTTATATATATAAATGAACAGGAACATCTAGAGTAGGGTATATACAGAAACAGAAACATATAGAGTAGGGTATAAAATACAGAAACAGGAACATCTGAAGTAGGGTATATACAGAAACAGGAACATCTAGAGTAGGGTATATATATATATATAGAAACAGGAACATGTAGAGTAGGACAAAAACAGAAACATGAACATCTAGAATAGGGTATATACTGAAACAGGAACATCTAGAGTAGGGTATTTACAGAAACAGGAACATCTAGAGTAGAATATATATACAGAAACATGAACATCTAGAGTAGGGTATATACAGAAACAGAAACATTTAGAGTAGGGTATATGTACAGAAACAGTAACATGTAGAGTAGTGGTATATACAGAAACAGGAACATCTAGAGTAGGGTATATACAGAAACAGAAACATCTAGAGTAGGGTATATATACAGAAACAGGAACATCTGGAGTAGGGTATTTACAGAAACAGGAACATCTAGAGTAGGGTATATATACAGGCACATAATATAAATTATATATAAATATAGAATATTGCGGTATTATCGTAATAAATGTTATTAGGACCAAGTAAGAACAATAAAAGGATTTAAGGACCATTGTTCTGACAGTAGTTTGTATGTTCTTTATTGCAAGGTGTTTACGTAAATCTTAAATGTTTTTTTTTATCAGAAGTGACATTACAATATAATTATTTCTTTTGACGCACAATTTACCATCAATGTTATCTTTACCATTTAAGAATTATTCGTTTTCTGGTGTTAAAATGGAGGCCAAAGTATTCATCCTCATTACATTATCCTTCATTCTCATTTTTATTTTTTCACACAATCAATCAACCGTATTTTCCACTGTTCACTAGCTGTAGAAACCGGAAATAAATCAGTTCTTACTGGTTCAACCTTGAAGTGTAGAATGCCGTGTCTGGCCTCTCTTGAATCCTCTCACTGTCAGATGGTTTGTGTCCTCTATTCTGTCCTCCGTGTGTGAAGGTTTTAGAGTCTGCGGCCTCTTCAGGTTTCCAGTTACTAACTACCTTCCAACCCATCCTCAACCAAACTCTAAGTTACAGGGATTTAGTTTGGATTATATTTGTTTACCCCACCACATCTAAGTGTGTCAGTGAAAATGCGCGATTTTCTCCTATTTGGTTTGGTTTGGGGGATTTCCGTTGTTTCTGGAACAATCGAATTTCAAGATGGCGGCGAACATTTTGAACCAACGGTCGCTATGTATTGCCCGGAGAAAGGTGAGGATAGTGGTGACCTGTTCTACAACAAGTACCTGGCTGAGTCGGGGGTCTGGATGACGGATACCGACTCCAAGGCGACCTGTGTCAAGGACAAGGTCCAAATCCTGGAGTATTGTAAGAAGGTGTATCCGGAACGAGATATTACAAATATAGGGAATATATATTTAACCCTGATAAGACCCACGTGGAAATCAATTATACTGAATTATTCAAAAATAAAATTTAGGAATAATCATTTGCTTGACCTTTCCTGTACTTGCCACTTCATAACTTCTTTTTTCCTTTGAGTTAAGTCATCATTGGAAGCCATATTTAATATTTATACAATGTTTTCAAATTCAAATATTCTAGTAATGTTTTCTTGCAAATATTCTCATTTTTTTTCTAGACTAAGAGTAACTAAAATGGGTTTTAGTTACTTTTATTACACACAGAAACCCTTTAAATCTAAGAAAAAGTTCCATATTCGTTAATATCTCCAAGTTCCCTATATTGTTACCCATGAATATTGTTTTTTAAACACTCAAAGTTTTGTTTAATTCAAGAGGCTCCACTGATCTAATCTAAGATGTTTATCTTATTGCATGTAGGGGCTGTAAGTTTGCTTTTATTCCCCCCAAAAAAATTGTCATTAAAAGATGTACTCTTAAATTTAGAAAAAATGAATTTCTTTGACGGATTAGAAGTTGCGCTCAAAAAAATACGAACCAACTTTGAGCAAAAATATTTCAAAGTTTAATAAACATCTCAGTTCTTGTGAAGTCTTTTAATAAAGGGAATACCTAATAAAAGTGATCCTCCATTTACACAGTGGGTTTTCCGGTTTACTTTAGTACTCTTTAAACTTTTATTTTAGCAACCAATGATCAAAATGTCAAAACATAGCCGGGTTCTTCTGTCAATTTACTTAAACTTTTCTTTTATTATACAGAACCGCGATTGGAATTAATCAACTGTCAGATATAAAACAATAATAACTGAGTTATTTTTGATCAGAATGGAAATTACAGGGTACCATTGTGAATCAGCATGCAGCTCTTTTTTAATTGAGGGTTTTTTGACAGTCCATTTAGAATTAAAAACTGACTCTGATTGTTGATGGTTGATATATTGTGTCTGTAGTTGAGGGAGCCCACTACATGAAGCTGGGTAGCTGGTGCAGGGTGGGAGGAGAACGATGTGTTGGAAACTCACATTGGGTTCGGCCGTATAGATGTCTAGAGGGACCTTTCCAGTCAGATGCACTGCTAGGCCAGTCAAATATAAATCATTTTAAAGGATATAAAGTGTGGATTAAAACATCATAACTAACCTTAAATTATAGTAATTTTTTTTCTATAAAATCAAATCTTCCACTCAATTTTGCTTGACATTAAAGTAGTTTTAGTTTAGAATCTAATTCTTATGTTTTCACGAAAAAATTTTTTTTTTTAATTTAAGGAAATCCAGAACTTTTTAAAAATTTCTCTACAAATAAATTTGCTTTGCACACTTTTTTTGAGTAAACAAAAAACTAAATAAATTTCTTCGCAGACATTTTACTGTTTATGTTCAGGAGCTTTGCAAATTGGCAAACAAAAACAAAACAAATAATTTTGAACAATATCGTTTGATGTAAAAAATGGGGTTTAAATTACCACTTTGATTGACACCAAATATTTAGGATGTCTACAAAACTTTAGAATAATTTTAGAATAATGTTTGTCTACAAATATGATCGGTAATTTTTATTAGTTATTTGTGTCAAAAATCAAAAATCAAAATTGAGGCTCTTTCATTAAATGCTGGTTCTGTAGGTTATTCATTTGCTTATTTTTTCATTAACGATTAACAAGTATTAATAATAAGAATAAATTAGCCTAATGAAAACAATAATAGAAAAGCTAAAAAATCTAATAATATTCTATTTTCAATAGTTTAATTAAAAAATGTAAAAACTGAAACTAAACAAAAAAAATTATCATTCATGATATTTGCCGATTTATTAGGATTTTAAACTATTCAATCTAAACATTATAAAAATTACAAAAACTTTTTCTTATTGCATGATTTTTTAAGAATAAAGATGATCGATCAAATAAATGGGTTATTTTATGTTTTTTTACGCATTTATTAATCAAAGTTTCCCAACCTATTTTCCTAGATAAGTTTTATTAAGTTTGCCTGCCCCATTCATGATAATAAAGATGTTTTATAAAAAGTTACATTATACAAACAGAAAAATGCTCGCCATGCCTAAAGATATGAATGGAACGAAAGAACTCTAACATAAAAAATATCAAACCTTTTTAACCCTATTCCCGCTGGGGGGGAGGGGTCAATTTGACCCCCCCCCTGTAGTTTTTTTTACATAACTCAAAAAGTATTGGTCTGAGGCTGTTGAAATTTTCTGACTTTTCTTACATACCCAAAGCCCTCCCTTTAGGCCTAAAACCGGGCTTTAATACTAACTGCCTGAGTCCTCAGGCACACTGCCTGAATGACTGCTTTTGCCTGTAGCAAACTAAATCTTTGTTTTGACCCACTTTCACTTGTCAGATTTTGATAAAATTTAGCTTTTTGGAAAGCCTATGACATAAGGAAACGGATTGCACAAGTTTTGCGAAAAAAAAATTGCAAATTTTTTGCAAAAAACCTGTCAAAGGAAATTTGCACATTTTTAGTTTTTCTTGATTAAAAATCAGGTTATTTAAAATTTTGCAAAAATTTTTGCATATTTGAAATGGCATGGTCAAGGGCTTTTCAAAAATGTATAATTTGTCATTTTTTGGACAAATTTTTTTTTGCAAACATTTTACTATAAAACTGGATTTTGCGATAAAAAATTCAATTTTCGCAAATTTGCAAATTTTTTTGCAGATTCTAAAAGTAGAGCACAAGAGCTTTCTAATGATGTATCATTTGTCATAATTGGACATAAAACATGGGATTTAGAGGGGGGGTCAAATTGACCCCCCCCCCAGCGTATCCTGGTTTTCAAGTACCCCAGCGGGGATAGGGTTAAATTACTCAACTTTCAATTTTTCAGATTAAAATTATCATTTCTGAGTCCGAATTGAATGAATTGGAGCTGGGTCTCAAATCCGCCAAAAACTAATTTTAATTTAGCGGCGGCTTAAATCTTGAAACATTGAATACAATTTTATGTGGAACCAACCATTTTTGAGACGCGTGTCAAATTTAATAATAGCAGGACCTAATTCAACTACGTATACTATGATAAACCCCTTCTTCTGATAACCTAAGACGTGGTTGAACTATGTCTACGTAGTTCAATTGTTTCTTTCCATTCACTGAATCTGGTATCTGTGGCCCATTGGGCAGTTTTTTTCTCAATAACTTTATCTAAAAGTTGAGATGTTAACTTGGTTAAAGAAAATGTGTGTTAACTGCTTTTACTGGGAAAATAGCTGATTTAACGATTATAAACTGGAACATAAAAAACATCAAGTTGTAGAACAAGATCCCTGAGCCTGCAACTTATAAATACCCAGCAACAAACCCTGTCCTGTTTTTTTACAATGATTCAAAGGGCCTGTAAGCGTAGTTTCAAGTGAACCTCCATGCAATGATGACAATGCCCGATTCACAACAGGACCCTGAAAAGCTTTGTCTCATCAAGAATGAATTATTCCCAAGAATCCAACTGAATATGTTTCTTTTCTACGTTTAATTTTTGTTTAGTTTATCCTTGTTTCAAGAAAACAACTATGTATTACCCACAAAGGATGAGACTTCAGAGACGACTGTACGGAATCTATTTATTTTTTTTAATGCGTACTTGTTTTGTTCTTAAAAAAATCATGAAGTATGAAATTAAAAGACGTACTATATTTATAATTCATCCTTTGTGGGTAACCCGGTATCTTAATGAATGCATTATATTACAAATCTTGTAAAATCTTTGGTTACATTGGTTTCTTTTTCTACAATACCAGCAACTAATTAGTAATGGATATATTTGGTTTCTTTGTATCCGTCTTCTTACTGCAGTTTCACATCTTACATATTTTATACAAAAAATAATTCCTAAAACCTTTTCATGTCAGACATTTGTATCAAAATGACTACTTTTGTTAAATATAAAATTACTTGGTGGCATATAAAATTTTCTAAAAAATATATAAAACCTAGCTCAACATAAAGTTGTCTTTGATATTCACAATATCAAAATTAAATGAAATTAACTTTAGTTTAATGTAAGGTAAATTTGGTGGACGTGGTACGAATTAAAAAAATATTATTTTGCCAATTGGACTTAATTTACTTTTTTGAATTTCACTTAATAAAAATTTAAATGCATCTTCGATTAACGTTAACTCTAATAATTACCAAAAACCAATGACACCCTAAATTTTAAACTGTAGCCAACAATTTATGGTACACCCTGTATTCAAACCGTAGTCAACAATTTATGTTACACCCTGCGGAATGTAAAGTTGATGAAAAAAATAATTCTAAAACTAAGTAGCTAGTAAAAACTTGATCCCTAAACAGACTTCATCAAAGCAGAATTATTAATTCAAAAGTTAAGATGATACTTTTTAACATATTCCTCTAAATATTAAATATTATCCAAAATACTATATTTTCTAGAAAAAAACTTTCCCTGAAAGTTAGTTATGTTTTAGGGTGCTCATTTTTCTCTGAATTGGGAGAAAAAAATTTTTGATAAAAAGTATAGTAAAATGCGTTATTTGGTTATATTGAAAAATTGCTGAATTGGATTAAACATATCTTTCAACCCTTACATTATTGCAAGTAGAGATGTTAACCTAACCAAGATTACTTCTTGCTAATAATGTTTTTCCTGAAAATCTGAAAAGTTAAGCTTAACTACGGTGAAACCAGAAAACTCTGAAATAGGAAGACGACTTTATTACAATACTTATTAAAACACTAATTAAGTGAAGTGGGTCTGTTCACTGTGCACTTGCTATGTCCCATGGTCACAACTAGAGTCTAAAAGTTGTCTTCCAATTCCAGAGTTTTCTGGTTATGACTGTATAACCAAGTAACGCACTTTACTCTATTATAAAAAGGGTACAAAAACCTTATTATGTCAAATTTGTCCTCCATCCCCCTGCAGGGGGAGGTAAATATTTTCCCCTAAATAAAACAAAAGGAAAAGTTGAGCCGAGTTCGATGAAGAAATATAAGTCCCAGTGTAAACACGAAACGAATACTGAGAAGGTTCTAGGCACGGAATGGATGATACATAAATATAATGAATCATGGAAGCTTAAAAAATGTGATTGGTTCAGCTGCAAGCTGAAAATCGGAAAATATTTACCAAGGAACTGTAGACGTAATTTCAAGTTGATTCACAACGTTGTTAAATCAAGAATGAGTGAGATATTCATGTGTTTCTCTTGGCAAAATTGATTATTTTCAATTATTGTTTCTTTATAAAACTGACTTGCGAATTTCTGATGTACAGAAATAACGCTGGAAATTTTTGATTAGAGACATTTTTAAAGAATCTAAATAACGTTCTTTTTCGAACATGTCGTAAAGTCCATGAATGGAGTGTCTCTTGAAATTACAATGATGATCACTGTGTGTAAAAACAAAATACATGTAAATTGCAAGGTTAACCACAATTAAATACATTAATGAAAAAGTCCCTTTATATAAAATTCATATTTTATTTGACTTTGTCTCCGCAGTCCCGGAACAATGTCAATTTGATCATATTCACAATCAGAGCCGGTGCTGGTCATTCTCCGACTGGAACAGCACCGCTGTGATTGCCTGTAACAGTCGACAGATGATTATCAGGAGCTTCGCCATCCTTCTCCCCTGCGGGATAGATCTCTTCTCCGGGGTAGAGTTCGTGTGCTGTCCTACATCCGTCAAACAGCTGATTGAAGCAGGGTTCGGAGAGGGGGATATTCATGATAATGATCAGGTATAGTTCAGGTAGTTCAGATAGTTCAGGTAGTTCAGGTAGTTAAGATAGTTCAGGTAGTTTAGGTAGTTAAGATAGTTCAAGTAGTTTAAGTAGTTCAGGTAGTTAAAGTAGTTCAGGTAGTTCAAATAGTTCAGGTAGTTCAGGTAGTTTAGGTAGTTTAGGGTATAAATATATGCAGGATATACACTATATAATATATCCAGGATACAGACTATAAATATATCCAGGATAAAGACTATAAATATATCCAGGATAAAGACTATACAAATATCCAGGATAAAGACTATAAATATATCCAGGATAAAGACTGTAAATATATCCAGGATAAAGACTATAAATGTATCCAGGATAAAGACTAAAAATATATCCAGGATAAAGACTATAAATGTATACAGGATAAAGACTACAAATATATCAAGGATAAAGACTATAAATGTATCCATGGGATAAAGATTTTAAATAAATCAAGGATAACGACTATAAATATATCCAGGATAAATACTATAAATGTATACAGGATAAAGACTATAAATATATCCAGGATAAAGACTATAAATGTATCCAGGATAAAGACTATAAATATATCCAAGATAAAGACTACAAATGTATCCAGGATAAAGAATATGAATATATCCAGGATAAAGACTACCTGAACTATTTGAACTACCTGAACTACTTTAACTACCTGATAAAGAATATAAATATATCCAGGATAAAGACTATAAATATATCCAGGATAAAGACTGTAAATATATCCAGGATAACGACTACTATGCGGATGAGGAAGATACCTACTACAACGATTCAGACTACAAGGAGGAAACAACAACCTCCACAACAACAACAACAACAACATCTGACCCTGCAACAACCGAACCAACAGCCACAACAACCGTGGAGAAGCAAGCTCAGGACCCTTATCTAACTCACTATATGCCACAAAGTGAGCACACTGACTTTATTCAGGTTAGTACATTTAAGTCATCACTTTNGGGGGAGGGGGGGTTACTAGCAGGGCAAGATACTCAATACTTTTTGCAAAACTGATTTTGACGATTTTTAAATTTTACCAAATTTCTTTTTTTTTGCAAAATGACTATAAATACTAACTACTCAAATAAAACCTCTTTTTGATCAATCGAATTGTAAAAAAAAATCCGATAGTTTTTTATCAAAATTTGACCAATTATAATTTAATTCACATTGAGAACTAAGTCTATAAATGTGTACATCCAAGAAAAATAAATGCAAAAGAAAAAATTGGCTTGGCTTGTAGGTTATTTAGCTCTGTGCGCATAGAGAAATATATGCAAAAGGCACATTTCAGCCTCTCCCATGGTAATTTTTAGAGATAGAGCATTCAAAACATCAATGAATTTTCTTAAAATCATGGTAAATTGATTTGGGTTTATGTTTATTAAATGCTCCTGCTGGTTTTCTCATCATTTCAACAAAATCGTTGCAGAATTGTGAAAATGATGACCCTTTTAAGCTAAAAATAGGAAAAATAATCTTTATCTTTGCCTCTCATTCAAAATCCTATAAAGACATATGCTGATTCAAATGGTGAATTTGTTTATCATGGCTTTAAGATAATTTACAAACGTTTTAGTGAAATAAAGCTGAAATGTGCTTTTTAAACATATTCCTCCATGCGTTTAAAGCTATATAACCTTCAATCCAAGCCAATTTTGCTTTTGCATTTATTTTTCTTGGATATTAGATTTAGTTCTCAATGTTAATCAACCAATTTGATAATTCCTGAAAACCTGTTATTTGAGTAGTGACTAGGTAACGATAATTTAAATTTTTGAAATCCACCAACGAAATCGAGAAACTGGCAAAATTTGTTTTTGTTTTAATTCCAAAGTATCAGAATTGTCAATTATCACAATGTCAACAAATCATACCATACCAACATATCAAAGTACATATTTGAGAATGACATAAATAATTTAAATAACTCTGAACTAAATTGAATACTGAAATCCTAGAACTGCATAAATCAAATAGTATATCTGTACAGAGGAAACATTATTTACTAGGCTATCAGGGCGCCGCTGTATGTTACCAGCTACTATTTCATCTTTTTGAATAAAACAAAATAAAATTTTATAATTTTTTCGTAAACTTTTAAAATTTTACGAATAAATAATTTTTTGCAGACAACTTTTTGTAATTCTGTGCATTCATAAACCTTCCCGTGGGTCATGTGAGGTCCCACTCAAAATGTGTGCCAAACGAGTTCAGTCGTTTTGATTCTGGTTTTTATTTGATACAAACAGACAGAAAAGCAAAGTATATTAATCCTGCCTGATAGAAATATATATCCTGAAGATTGCATAGCATCAAACATAACATAATCAAACATAATCAAAATCATGCTAAATACTTATATTTATATACACTTAGTTTATATTATATTGAAACAAGTTTTAAAAACTAAACTTTTTTGTTTTTCTTTAGAATCGTGTCATAAACCATTCAGAAAATCAACAACTAAATTATAAAAAAATCCACACATTATCAAATATTCGTTTTAAAGAATTAATTCATGTTTGCAAATTTTAAATTTGATTATTTCAGCGGGGTTTTCTAACTTAAACAACTTTGTTAATGGATTTGTTCCATGCAAGAAAAAAGTTTAGCAAAAGAAAATTCTTAATCTTATCCCGAGCCTGTTCTCCAAACTTTATATAGAATTCAAGAATTTTCACGTTTATACATAATAGACTTTTAAAATGAATGCAGACCTTAAAAGTTTAAATATCAATATAGGTAAATGGGCTGTAGACGCTTGTCGTTCATTGGTGTGAATTTTCGGTTAACCCCCCAAAAAAATAATGATATCTTAAAGATTTAAAACAGCTTTCTGTAAATAAAGTATACATAAGCACTTACAACGGTACTGTTGTGAATCAGATAATCCAATATACTAAAAACTCTTTGAAGTAAAAATTAAGAAACAAGTTAGTATAACACGCACCTCTGACCCTTTAGTAAAAGTAAATTCAACATAAAGTCTGACCGCGTCAACCTTGTTGCACTGGCTAGTCCTATTGTGTGTCTGCTTTATGTACGTACCCAATGTCCGGGCGAAACAGTACAAGCTGGGACCGGAAAGGTAGACCTGACTCGGAAATTCAAATGTACTACGGCTGCCTGGGATAAAGATATTTTTGTTTATGTTTATGTTTAGAAATATTTATATAGAAATATGAAGCATATATATTTCATATATTTCATATCTAATTTATTATATATACATAAATAAAAAGCATATTACATTTATCATGATGTATTAAGAGAGAAGAAGACAGCTTGAGATTAACAAAATATTGAGATTCTCAAACAGAATATTATCAAAATCACAGAAAATTGACAAAATATCAGAGTTTTGTTTCATTATATCTATCAAAATCTACACAAATGATAAGACCCCAAGACTCTTGTATTGATCGGTTGAATATTTTGTTTGCCACTAAACTTCAAGATTGACTCTAATTGGAGGAATTAACGTCACAAGTAACTCACTGCGGCATTGCGCAAAAATATTTCATAATTCTAAAGATGGCCATTTATGTCCAAAACTATCTTACTAAATTAGCTACTCGAATTTATTGATGTAGTTGGAAAGAATTATAGTTTCATAGAATTTCATTGCTTTCCGAATGCAACATCTACAACAAGGTTAAAAAAGCACAGTACATGTAATTCTAAATAACCCTCCATGTTTAGAGTGGCATGTCCGATTCTCCCTTTACAACTTTACCAGAGTAGCAATGAGGAAAATAGGGTTAATTCTGACAATTTTCCAAACTGTTTTTGCAATACATATTTGCATATAAATCCGTTTACAAAGAAACCACATTCACAGTTGAAAACAATTAATTTTCAGGTGGAAAAAGAGAATTTTTCAATAAACCTTGATCAGTCCAAGGTCTAAAATGTTTTCGAACCGAAATCTGGATTTAAGCTGTCTAAGAATTGTTCCTCCCAAAAGTTTATTGCTTATCCTCCTTGTAATCCCAGTGTCGAGCAAACTTAACAGAGTTTTGTAAAGTTTAGTGTCCTTTTCATTCTTAACATTTCATACAGGGTCACCCACTAAACATGATAAAAGAACCATAGGTCGTCTTTCATATATGATTGCAAAGAGTCTTTTCACGGCATCTACTCAAAATGTGGTAATTTACTTTACCCTTTTTAAATCTTCAGAAAGTATACAGAAATTTCCATTTGATATTTAGATAATTAGGGCTATGGAGTGGATAAATGTTTTCAAGAATCATTTTTGTTAAATTAGTTTCACGAATGAATTCCGCAAATTTTCTGAGTTGAACGACTTGACGGTATCTATCAAGAAATAAGCATATTCAGGGTGTTTTGTTTTTAGTATACCTCACATAAAGATTAACTCGTAAGAACTTTGTAATTTACAAAATAAGTGTCCTACTATTTTTACATTAGAATGCTAAAACTTCTTTACTTTTTCAACTTCATACTTGTGAACAAATTTAGCTAAAACCCAAATTTTTAAGTTAAAATATTTATATTTCCGACGTATTTTTTTTTACTTTTTAAAAATCCTCTCTTGCTCCCTAACCATGAAAGATAAAGGATAAATCTGTTTTTTATGAGCTGGCCTTGAAAAGTTGGACTAGGGACATGCATCAAACTCTCCTATCTCAACTCTAGGGCAAAATAATAGCGGAGGGGGGGGGGGGTGAAAAGCACCCACCCTTCAAGTTTAGACAAAAAGAGACCATACGTATAGGGTTAATGTTTTCTATCTTCTCTTTTTCCAGGCTGAGATTAGATTTGATCAACATCACAGGGAGAGAGTTGAAAAACTGATGAAGGACTGGGGAGCAATTCAGGACCAATACAAACAGGACAAGGACAAGGTAGAAATACAGGACCAATACAAGCAGGATACGGACAAGGTAGGAATACAGGACCAATACAAGCAGGACAAAGACAAGGTAGGAATACAGGACCAATACAAGCAGGACAAGGAAAAGGTAGGAATACAGGACCAATTCAAGCATGACAAGGACAAGGTAGGAATACAGGACCAATACAAGCAGGACAAGGACAAGGTAGAAATACAGGAACAATACAAGCAGGATAAGGACATAGTAGGAATACAGGACCAATACAAACAGGACAAGGACAAGGTAGAAATACAGAAACAATACAAGCAGGATAAGGACAAGGTATGAATACAGGACCAATACAAGCAGGACAAGGACAAGGTAGGAATACAGGACCAATACAAGCAGGACAAGGAAAAGGTAGGAATACAGGACCAATACAAGCAGGACAAGGACAAGGTAGGAATACAGGACCAATACAAGCAGGATAAGGACAAGGTAGGAATACAGGACCAATACAAGCAGGATAAGGACAAGGTATTAATACAGGACAAATACAAGCAGGATAAGGACAAGGTAGGAATACAGGGCCAATACAAGCAGGATAAGGACAAGGTAGGAATACAGGACCAATACAAGCAGGACGGGTAGGAATACAGGACCAATACAAGCAGGACAAGGTAGCAACTCAGGACCAATACAAACAGGACAAGGACAAGGTAGAAATATATGACCAATAAGACAAGGACAAGGACAAGGACAAGGTAGGCATACAGGAGCATACAAGCACGATAAGAACAGGGTATAAATACAGGACTAATACAAGCAGGACAAGGTAGGAATACAGAGCTGAAAACTTTAGAATGGTGGATATCGGGATTAAGGCTTAATCCACTCTTTTTCTTAATCTGCAGATTAAATATTGCTTGTTCTCCACTAATTTTTAATCTCCAGATTAATTATCCGATCAGGATTAAGGATATCCCATTCAAAAGTTCCCATCTCAGGACCAATACGACAAGGACCAGGTATGAATACAGGGTAATACGACAAGGACAGAGTAGTAATACATACAGGACAAATAATATCTATTAATTTAGAAATGGTCATGCATAAAAAATTCGAGTTTGCTTAAAAACTATAAAACTATAAAATATATTTCTGCAGGATCCTGAGACGGTAAAGCAAGAGTTAACCCAGCAGTACCAGGAGAACCTAAAGGTAATTAAAGAACACATATTTTCAAAATCATGTCAAATATGACATAAATACCTCTAGTCGGAATTTTTGGGACATATATATGTAATACTTGATTTTCTTAAAAAGATGTTTAAAGATTTATAAAACTAAATGAATATGGATAAAATGCAGACCTCGATGTTTTACTTACTTTAGTGATAAAGGAATGCAGTGTTATGGGTAATCATGGGTAATTTGCCGTTAATGGTGACGGAGTCGTTAATTTTGAATGCCAAATATACATTTATTTTTATAATTTGAGCCGCGGCTCAAATTTGAGACGCGGCTCAAATATGGTTGGTTCCACTTAACATTGTTTTCAATGTTTCAAGATTTTACCCGGCGCTCAATTGAAACAGGCTGCTCAAATTCATTAAATTTGAACACATGAATTCAAATACTAAGAACCTTTCGTTAGATATTGATACCATCTAACCTTTCATTAAATGGTAATAACATCTACTGAAAGGTTCTTATAGAATTTGAATTCAGGTTATAATAGGAATACAAAATTAATGGCAGTTACCGTTAACAGCAAGTTGCCCAGGTCAAAAAGGAAGGTGTTATAATAATGATTTATCCATCTAAATATTTATGATTTTAAATTGCAGTTTTGTAATGTATGACAGTGACTTGCAGATTTTAGTTAATCACACCTTTACAAGACAAAAAAAGTTTGATAGCTTCAACATTTTGAATCTGATGTAGGGTACCGTTGTGAATCCGATAAAGGGTACCATTGTAAATCCGATGGTAAAACCGATGGTGTAAAGTACAGTTGTGAATCCGATGTAGGTACCATTGTTAATCTGATGCAGGATACCGTTGTGAATCTGATGTAGGGTACCGTTGTGAATCTGATGTAGGGTACCGTTGTGAATCTGATGTATGGTACCGTTGTGAATCCGATGTAGGGTACCGTTGGGAATCCGATGTAGCGTACCGTTGTGAATCCGATTTATGGTACCGTTGTGAATCCGATAGGGTACCGTTGTGAATCCGATGTAGGGTACCGTTGTGAATCCGATGTATCGTACCGTTGTGAATCCGATTTATGGTACCGTTGTGAATCCGATGTAGGGTACCGTTGTGAATCCGATGTAGGGTACCGTTGTGAATCCGATGTATAGTACCGTTGTGAATCCGATGTAGGGTACCGTTGGGAATCCGATGTAGGGTACCGTTGGGAATCCGATGTAGGATACCGTTGTGAATCTAATGTAGGTACCATTGTAAATCCGATGTAGGGTACCGTTGTGAATCCGATGTAGGGTACCGTTGTGAATCTGATGTAGATTACCATTGTGAATCTGATGTAGGGTACCATCGTGAATCTGATGTAGGGTTCAGTTGTGAATCTGATGTAGGGTACCGTTGGGAATCTGATGAAGGGTACAGTTGGGAATCCGATGTAGGGTACCGTTGTGAATCCGATGTAGGGTACCGTTGTGAATCCGATGTAGAGTACCGTTGGGAATCGGACATGTCACCCTTTCTAAATTGCCAGTCAATTTAAAAGGAACCTTGTTTTCTGCGGATTCTTTTCTTTTAGACCAAATTTATTCCAAGCAAAAAAAAAACATTTGCAAATAACGAGATTGTAGCCAAAATTCTAACTTTTAACTTTTATTCTCATGTCCAACTAAATCTTATGTTTGATGAATTCTTAACTCTGACCTTTATAAATACGTGATGGCTAATTTTTAAACGGATGGAATCAAATTAAGTCGGTCAAATTGAGTTTAACTAATTCAAACCTGCAAAATCCATAGGAATTATTGATCAAATAAACTTCTTTTCCATAAAAGAATATCGATTCACTTTTCTTTTTCATAACAGAATATCCATATACTTTTCTTTTTCATGAAGAATATCCATACGCTTTTCTTTTTCATAAAAGAATATCCATAAACTTTTTTTTCATTAAATGATATCCATAAACTTTTCTTTTTCATAAAAGAATATCCATAAACTTTTTTTTCATTAAGTGATATCCATAAACTTTTCTTTTTTTATGAAAGAATATCCATAAACTTTTCTTTTTCATAAAAGAATATAAATTCACTTTTCTATTTTTATAAAAAAATATCCATAAACTTTTCTTTTTATAAAAGAATATCAATTAACATTTCTTTTTCATTAAAGAGTATCAATTAACTTTTATTTTTTATAAAAAAATATCAATTAACTTTTTTTAAAAAAGAATATCAATTGACTTTTTTTTACAAAAGAATATCCATAAACTTTTCTTTTTTAATTTGTATTGTATGTAATTATGCATGAAGGGGAAATTAACGATAAATTTTGGATTAGATAATAAATTAGTTTTAATTTAATTAGAATAACATCCTGAATGAATGTTCCAGTTCAACAAATAAATAAAAATCTCAACAAAAAAGAATATTTTTGAAATATTTTTTACATATATCGATGTCTTAAGTATAATTTGTATAATCTGAGGTCGAATTTAAAGAATTTAAGCAGCAGCATAAATTTAAGACACGGCTCAAATATGGCTAGTTCCACTTAAAATTGTATTCAATGTTTCAAGATTTAAGCCAGCGCTCAATTGAAACCGAGTTTTGGCGGATTTAAGACGAGGCTCAAAATCATTTAATTCGGACTCTGGTCTCATTATAGTTTATTTTTTTATATTCTAGACATTTTTGAAAATCTACTTGGCATGGATTCCATTTCAAGGTTTGGCAGTAAAATGTGGAAGTTATAAAAGTGTCAGGATTAAGTTTATGAGGAGCAAGATTTGAACCATGATAAAAGCTGTATATATAGTAAAACTTAATCTCACTGAGAATAACAATTTAAAAACAAACAAGTAAGTGCAACTTACATTTCTAATTTTCAAAAATACAACTAACGCCAGGTTAAAAAAAAGATTAATATTTTTTATACTTGGTTGTCTTAAATTTGGCATTTTTAGTGGAACATATTGTAAAAAATACTTTTTTGGGGACACCCTGTATATTTGATCAGGAGCTTGAGGAACAGCATCAAGCAGAGAGAAGGCAGCTTGTTGCTATGCATCAGCAGCGTGTCATTGCCAGGTAAATTATATATATATATATAATATACTTAGCTTGGGTGTTTGTTTGTTTGCACCCAATAAACGTCAAAACGGCTAAACCTCACATGACTCCAAGGAAGGGTTATGAATGCTCAGAGTTTTGCAAATTTGTCTCCAAAAAATTATATTTTCGTAAAATTTAGAAAATCCACCAAAAAAAACGCTTTGATAGTCTAGTATTGATTAACTTGAGGAAAAGATGATATTTAGACTCAATTTACGCTTTTAAAATACAGCAATTGAGCAAGCAGTGTAAGCAGACGATATTAACACATTTCACATAGCAAGTAAGTGCGTTAAAAAAACTGTTTGATCTAAAACATCATCAAATAAATATAAATTGTGTAATTGACTTCTTACTAATCCACAGTGTTATAGGTTTCACTTTATTTGTTCTTTTTTTCAAACATTTGACATTTTATTTTCTCAGAAAAAATATGAATACTACGAAACGAATTTATATTTATTAGATAAAGTGTATCTGCATTTTGTGAATGCATATTCGAATGCATATCCGTTTTGCAGAAAATTTTTAAAGTTAGATAATTTTAACTGCAGTCCATACATTATTACACTTTAAAGTTTATGTTTCCCCCATACAACTTATGGTCTCATTTAATGTTAGATACTTTATTACTTTAGATTTATTCAATGAAAATATTTGTATTTTTACACTGAAAAATCGTAATATTGATGCATATCAAACTGCAATAGAATTTTAGCACTGTTAAAATTAGTTTTTATGCAATATAAAATAAATTTTTAGACACTGTAAAAATTAAGTGAAACCTGTAATATCTCCAAATTTTAGAATAAAATCTTTGTGATAATGTAGTGTAAAAAAAACAATAGTTTAATCAATGATTGATGCACTGTAAAAACTATCTTCAATATCTGCAGGTTTGGTGAGAGGAAGGATAAGGCCCTGATCTGCTACAAGGAAGCATTGGACCAGACACCATTCAATGTACACAGGTTGGTCAACGTGCTTTAAAATCAAGAACCGGGATATCTAATATCGAGCTAATTATGTCCTGGCTCTTTGAACTGAACTCTGTTCTTCGTTATATTTTAACCAAACTTCAGCAATCATATTGTAATTTACTGCAATATTTTTAAAAAACAGCAAAATTAAAAAAAAAATTTAATTTAATGGGATTATATGCAAATAAATTCTATTACTTGCTATTAACACGTGATGAAACTTATATACCCAAAAAGTTATTAAAAAATGCATAGCCTATCAAAACTGTAACAAACGTTAAAAACCTTAAACTTTACAAACATGGATCGAAGCTGCTGTTTTCTAAACTTTTATGACATGTATTTTGAATCACTGTGAAATTCAAAACTTTTATTGGGAATCCTAAAATACCAAAAATAATCTTTTCAAAGCGGGAAATTTTATATAATTGATATTGTTCAAGGTTTTAATGAATTGTAAATATTGTTTTGGTCAATTCAAGTTGGATCAAATAAATACACAATTCTGCAAAATACTGGAAAAAGAAGCTGCTCCAACATGTCAAGATAATTTACTTTAAATTATCAATTTTGGACTGTAAATGATGAATTAGGAAGAAAGAAGAAACCGGAAGGAATTTGAAATATTATCTTGAATCATTTATCATGAAAAAGAATGTATAATATGTATCATTTATTTTATTCTATGGACCACGGACCATAATGTTTACCACTTCGATTTATCATTTGTATACATGTATTATATGTTTATGTACAATGTACATTGTACAACTTTACAGCTTTAACTGGTCGTCTTTTTGCAACATTTACTATGTACACTGTCACAAAAAACTGAGAGTTGAGACTGCAAGGACTGAGGAGGGGCGAATTTAAGTCTTTAAAATAGTTTGCTGCATTTCCTTAACGTACAGGTTTGCAATTTCGTGCTATAAAATTACCGTAAATAATTGATTCGATTTATTCCATTTTTGTTTTGTTTCCTAGACTTTAACCTGAAATAAATTCTTTGTGTCTCCGCTAATATTGAAAGCATAAAAAAGGCAGACCACATTTTGGAATTGCCGCACTATAAAAATTATTAAACAAGAATATTTTTATGTTTTAATATACTACAGGACATGCAGATAGTCGGTTAAAGAATTAGTAAAGTCTTTTTGTTCTTCTGTACACCTTTACAACTGTACACCTGAACAACTGTACAAATGTACAACTGTTTTCCTGTACAAATGTACAAATGTACAAATGTACAAATGTACAACTGTAAACCTGTACAACTGTAAACCTGTACAACTGTACACCTGTACAAATATACAACTGTACAACTTTATAACTGTACAAATTTACAACTGTACACCTGTACAACTGTACATCTGTACAGCTGTACACCTGTAGAGCTGTACAACTGCACAACTGTACACCAGTACAAATGTACACCTGTAAACCTGTACAACTGTACACCTGTACACCTGTACAACTGTAAAACTGCACAACTGTACACCTGTACTACTGTACAACTGTACAACAGTATGACTGTACAACTGTACAACAGTATGACTGTACAAATGTACAACAGTATAACTGTACAACTGTACAATTGTAGAAACGTTTAACTGTACAACTTTACAACTATATAACTGTAATTGTTAAGGATAAAGAAATGTTTGCAGAAGGTTCTGAAATCTCTACACAAAGAGAGGAATCATGCAATCCTACAATTCAGGTAGAATTAATTCAGCCAATCAATCAATCAACTATTTTTCAATCAATTAATCAATTAATCAAGCAATCAATCAATTTACCAATCAATTAATCTATTTATCAATCAATTAATCAATTAATCAAGCAATCAATCAATTTACCAATCAATGAATCTATTTATCAATCAATTAATCAATTAATCAAGCAATCAATCAATTTACCAATCAATCAATTTATTTATCAATCAATTAATCAAATTATCCATCAATCAATCAATTTATCACTCTCATGATTCAATCTGATAAATAAGTAATGAATGCAAATAAAGAAGATTGCAACTGTAATTGTTTAGGAGGTTGGTAGATGAGGGTGGTGTGGAGATTGCAAAGAAGGAGATTGCAACAACTATTCAACAACTAAAAGATATAGATACCAGGTATACACTGTAAATTGTGTAAATAGAGTGTAAATTGTGTAAATACTAAAACTGGAAAATATTATTTTATGTTATTTAGTTTTGGTTTAGGTTAGTATAAATAGTGTATAATAACATCATTTATCTCTTGCTTCGTTATTTGGTTTTGTTTTTATGAAGAAATATATATTTATTAGACATATTTATTTATATCCTGTGAAAATATATCTAGATGTATTTCTAGGGCTAGGTTCCAAAAATGGGGAGCGGTTTTTTTTGTTAACGAACGGAATTTACCATTAACGACCACATCGTTGAAATACAAAGAATATTTTCTAGACATGTTATTGTACAAGATCAGTTATCCTTAACGATCAACCATTGTTAACAATTTGAACGTTAACGAACGGTATAATTTATGACTAATCGTAAATTAAAAAACGGAAAGACCATTTTTGGAACGAAATATTTGAAAGACACTAAAGTGCATCTAACGGTCAACCTCAAAGTGCTAGCTAACTAACTTGGCCGATTCCAGAGATCAAAAACTTGCCAGGCCTTCATTATATCCTGTGGAAATATTTAAAAAATATATTTTAGTTGGAAAAATACACCGCGGCTAGATTTACAGTAGTAGAAAAAAATATTGAAACAATTGTCGTCTATGTTCGTTCTTTATATGATGAAATGTCAGTTAGGACTCTGTAATTTTTACTTACTACAACTGCATATGTATTAAAGATATAAATATATATATTAGATATATTAGATTTTGTATGAATATAAAATAGATATTTACTCTGTTGTGTGTATAGCATAAACATACCTTTATTTATATGAGCTACTGTGTTCTGCAGAAAAAGAATCTGACTAGCAATTTTTTAAATATTTAATTCTGCTCTACACTATTCTGGGAAATGTAACAGAACTAAAGGTTTGAAAATCCGCCAAGAAATCATTAGCAATCCGTGATAATTGGATTAGTTCATTATTGAGATCGGGATTTAAGAAAGTTGCATAATTATCTATTTGTTTAGTATTGAGGACAACCTGAATATGCTCTCTAAAAGCGATGACTTGAAGGAAAAGGTAAAAATGAAAAAAATAACTGTAGTGTGGATCGGAGTTTTCTCATCATGTTTTGGAGAGGATACAAGAACATCCAGCCATAGACTAAACAAAAATAATGATAATAATAATGATAATAATAATAATAATAATAATAATAATAATATTAATAATAATAATGATAATAATTATAATAATAATCATAATTTTAACATTTCTTACACTGAGTGTTAGAAATTGGCACAAATTGAAAGACTGGGTTTTTAGGATCCCAGTTCATATCGAGTGTAAAAGTCGATAATAAAAACTATAACCAACATTTTATTAAACATGAACAATTCCCAATTAAAAACTTTTTTCCGGAATCTAAATTATGAAAGAAGTTGTTTTTACATTAAACCCCTTCACCGTTTCCAAGCCAATGTCAGGTTTTTCATTTTCAAATTCCTGAATTTGAATCATTGTCGCGTTTTCGAGACAATCCCCATTTTACCGTTTTTCAGTATAATCCTCAATCCAGGACAAACTTTCAATTATTAAAAGATAAATTACTGAAAACAAAAATTATCTGATGACGACTAAATTAACTGCAAAGTGATTTTTGAAATCTTATTTCCCCAAATTATCTGTTGAATAAGAGAACAGAGTTGATTAAATTTCCATTATTCTAAATAAACAATTTCCCGATTTAATTCAAAGTTGACATTTTTTGTTTTAAAAAAATGGTTTAGTCATTTTTATTAAATGGATGGTGTTATTTTCTTCAACTCAGCTAGGATTTAAAGACAACTTTGCAGATTTGGCCTATTTCTTAAACTCAGTGTTATAAATGGACCAAGTGTTGGTTTTGGAACTAATTTCCACTGTAATAATTATGATAATAATGACATTAATGATAACAATGATAATAATGATAAATGTTTAGATATTGCCTGTAATGACTGAGTATCTGAGTGCTCTCCGAGCTAAGGATTCTACTCCTTACTCCAACCTCATCATGAATACAGACGCGGAGAAACAAATTCTGCTCAACATCCTACAGGAGAAGGACAACAAAGGGATAGAGGAGAAGGTTGCAGAGAAGGAGGAGGAGGATGAGGAGAAGGAGGAGTTTGAGGAGAAGGAGGAGAAGGAGGAAGATGAAGAGACTACTCTGACTAATATTGAAAAGGAAACAACCGTCCATCCTCTGATGGAGAGTGTCGGAGAAATTCAGGTGAAAAATTCATCCATATTTTTTTCTTATAAAGAAATTAAACTTCAACATTTTCAAAGCACCTTTATAAACGCAAAACAAACTTTTTGTATTGATGAAACGTATATGACATGGGGATTAAGTAAAACAGGGATTTAAAACATATTATTGCTAAGTTACAAAGAAAGATAAATAAAACCGTTTTTTTAATTTAATTCTAGACATTTTTTCCATGGCGTACCCCCCTTTTCCTCATTACAAGCAACTTAATAAAAAACCTATTTACAGAGAAGTGAAATTGTTTCTTTTGTATTATTAATGACGCTTTAGATGCAATGTCTAAAGGTTAGAAAAAGTTCAATGTTATCAAAAAATGAAAAAAACACAATAATTTCCGTTTTGAATTTCTAAAAAAATATTTTATTGGTGTTAGGTATTTTCCAATGGCGACTTCACAAGTGACAATTTCCCAAGGGGAAACTTCCCAAATTTGCAATTTCCCAAGCGACAACTTCCTAAAGGTTAGGATAGGCCTTCTGAGGCGCCACAGGCTGCAATGAGGGCCGAGCACTGCAGCCAGGATGAGCAAAAGGGCCTAGATGTGCAGCTAGAACATGCTAGAAGCCTAGATCTACGGCTATGACAGACTCATGGGAAGTTGCCACTTGGGAAATATCACATTAGGGAAATTGCCACTTGGGAAAATACCCTTGGGAAGTTGCCACTCGGAAAATGCCTTTGGAAAAGTACTTAACATAATTTGATTAAGGTTGAGGTGCATGCAACAGCAATTCACGAACAGCCGCAACCACAGATACGGATTGAGGTATTAATGGGACTAGTTCTAGTTTATAGCAGGGGGGCAGGATAATATCCACTTTTTACAATTGCACTTTATAAATCATATGGATTTTTTTAAACATAAAAATAAATATCTTTTAATAAAAGTAATGTTTTAAAAAATTATATTTTGGTATTTTTGCCCGCGCGGTAATAATTATATTTATTTAATAAAAATTAGGTACTCTTTGTTAATTTTGATTAAAAGGAACTTTTTTGCACTTAGGAGTCCCTGAAAACAGGGTTGGGAGGCTTTGAGTCATTCCCCGGCTCCTTCTTGAGCGAGCCATCCATCGAAGAAAGGCCTGCCATGAGCCACAACCAAGCTCACTTCATCTCACACTCAGCCTCATATACCATGAAGTAAGCTCAAACTTTTCTTACTTAATTTCTCACTCAATACATCGTGACAATCCAATAAAAGAAGTTGGAACAAGAAAAGAAGAAATAAACGAGACATTTTTAACCATTTCTTGCTGGAAAATAAAAGAAAACTAATAAGAGAAATATAATTATTCTATGCTTAATATATTCAGACGTATACATTGTATTCCTCTTAGATATCCGTCCTGATCAGACCCTACTAACTCTCAAATTTAAAAGTGCACAAATTGAATATCGAACTCGAGCGTTAAAAATTAACATCTGAATCATTGTTTCTTGTATTTATTTTTTGGACATGTCTAAATATTTTAAAAGATTTTCTGCAACTTTGTTACGATAGGATTTTAGAATTAAGTATGAACTTTAAAGTTTAAGTCACCTTCAAAATGTTGTTAACAACATTTCATTCTCATCATTCTAAAGGCTATATAACATATTTGATTTCATCGTGGTTTAATATATCAAAGTTCTATGGAGACCGTTTCACATGAGAACCCTTTAAACCTTCGACTGATCAAGAATGACGGACTTTTCTTTATTTTTCTACAAATGTCAGAAACGCTTAACAATGTTGATATTTTTTATTGCAGTCTGTTTTATACATTCGAATGTTTGTAAACCGTAATTGAGATAGAATATACAGATTTTCGAGGATATGTAACGTCAGCTGGGTAAAGTTTACACTGTACGCTATGGTGTACAGTCAATGTATTTGGCAACTTACACACTATTTTAGAGATAAACACACGAAAATCTCTGTCCTCAATGATCAGTGAATGGTTTAAAGTGTACCGCTTTAAATCGAGCATTAAGCTAAAAATATCATCATTGTTATAGCCTTTAAAAAACATGATTTAAAAAAATGAATTTTTCTAATATTTAATATGTGTTGAGCTCTTTATCTTTAGAAATCTAAAAAATAATCTTTAAGAATGAGAGAAATAAAGTTTTAAAATTTTGTTTAAAGATTCTTGAAGATTTTATTCTTAAAACTAATTTTTTTTTTTAAATCTCTTTTTATCAAGTTTAAATGATACTTTAAATCACAAATTACAGATATAAAATATGAATGGTTGGCGTTTTTGATTATTTTTACCTACAGCTTGCTTTTAAACTGATTTCAATAGTTGTATTTCAATTTTTTCCACAATATGTCTCACACACTGAGGATTAAATGTGTAAGGAACGGTATTTTTATTTTTTATAGAAATATATTAAACAGACATAAGAATAAATGATTTCTTGAAAATTTTTATAGTTTATAGTATTTATTTTCAAATACAAAGTAATAATGCATGATGGTTCAGCTTAAAATAAAACACGAAAAAAAATTATTATATGCCAATTGAAAATATGAAGTTTAATAATTTTGTTCTGATCGTTATTTGTTAAAACAGGCTATTCATAATGAAATCTCAACTGAATATACATTTATTGTGGATTTATAAGTAAATACTTAGTCAGCACTCAAATAATCAAAAAATTTTCAAGAATGCATTAATTGAACTTATAAATACATATTGATTCAGCAAAAGTAACAATGTATTCTTGTTGACTGTAGTAGACTTTGACATCCACCATTAGCAAAGGGTGTAAATTAAAAATTGGAGACATCTAAAAAAAGGCAAAAACTTGCTGATCAACCTGTTTTTATGTTAACTTAACCTTTATTCTTTTCAATGACCTTTCCCAGTTTTAGGAATTTTATTAATAGAGAGGTACATTTATTTTGTTTAGAACAGTGCCATATTAAACCATTGTCTGTTAAAGGATTACATGGATATTCTAATTTTATAGATCAATATTTAGTGCCTGGAAACTGCAAGCTATACTTGAATGAAGTGTACACTGTAAATTAAGTCTCACGGAACTCAATTTTCTGCTGTAGAATAAAGAAATCATACGTCCTCCTTGCTTGGATAAAAGTCTATTGGCACCGTTCTGAATCGGACATGCCATCACTGCAAATGACGAATCACCTAAAAATTACTACAACAATTTCTTTTTCAATTTTTTTACTTTCAGACATACCAGGAAGACCGACCACAACTCTCTTTATGTTGTGAGTATGCTCGGAGTCGGAATCATGGTTGTTGTCGTCTTCGGTATCATTCTGCGCAGGCGCGGCTCAGAGAACAGTTCGCATGATGGTTTCATTCAGGTAAATGGAGGCAGTTTTTAATACGTTATACCGTTAAAAAAATTCTGTTTTTGGTTTTTAAAAGTTTCAGTTTTTTGTCACTTTTATGCAACAATCAAGGATTCTTTTCCACTTTTGACAGGAACAAAGAACTAAAGGAATCATGACTAAAACAAAAATATATGTTTTAAAAAATGTGGATATACAATTTGAATTCAACTTTGATGTGGTTTGAACCAACATCAACACCAACATTTTTAAGCCAAACCTTAAATGCTTTTTTGCAGATTTTCAAAGTTTTTGCCAGCGATTGAAATTTACAAAAATAATTGCAAAATTGGATTGTGAAGCTCTTGGTTTAGAAATAAGATGGACGATAGAGCAGCAGAATGTCCCACATGGAGGTTGGACTGCCTTTTTAAACCAGAAATATTTCTGAGGCAGTTTGATATGATTCTAAGAAATACAGTGGGCAAAAAATGGAGAGGGTCAATTGAGTTAACGCCGACAATCACTTTAAATAGGGGAAAAGGTAAAAGCAGCAATTTTTACTTTTGTTTAATCAATTTGATTCACTAGGTTGATACTGAGGGTAGTCCTGAGGAGTATGCAGTATCTAGTATGCAGATGACTGGATATGAAAACCCAACCTACAAATACTTTGAAACCTCCACATAAAGGAACCAACTTTAATAATTATAAGGGAATGTGGAATTGACGACTGTTAGAAATAAATAAAGATGTTAAATATGCCACACCAATCTGGATCTATGTGTTTTCCCCGGGTCGATTAACTAAATATATGTTGTTTATAAGGATCTGTTTAGTGTTTGTCTAGTTCACCCCTGGGATTCCTTCCATTTTCTTCAGACTCTTTAAAAACATTAAACATTTGCCACGATTTACATTTTAGGCCAGGAAGACATGAACAAAAATGAAAAATTACCCAATTCTGGATAAAACTTTTTTTACCACTTTTTAAAAATTTATTCCGCATTTTTTAATTTGGTGGATTTTCTAATCTTGTCCATTTTACTTTTTAAATATGAATTTAACTAAGCTTGTTCTTACAAATAGTTTAAAATTAAATATACAAAAATTAAATTAAAATTAAACATTCAGGGGGGAAAAATAACTTTCCAACCCCTATCAGAGTTTAAAATTTTGCCTTAAAATGTTAAATTTGGTTTGGTAGGAAAATGGCGGATACAAAATGGCTGCCTTGAGTACCAACTACAGACGGCATCCATATTGGATTGAGGTTCGAGGAATCTAAACTAAGCTATTTATTAGAATGACAAGTTATTGTTAAACTATTTGCACCATCATAGAAATTCGCACTAATTATTCAACACTTTAAATCTAAAAAAAGAAATTAAACATAATTAAACAAAATATTCAACCAAATAAATCTAGAATAAAAAAACAGATTGAGAAATAAGCTAATAGGTGTCGTAATTGGTGTCTATTCTTACTGTTCATATTAAATTTGACAATACTCAAAAAATCCCCAAGCATATCTGAAAAAGTATCATTTTATCAATTGAAAATATCAGATTGTGATAAACCAAAATAAAATAGTTTATATTTGTCCAAATATGAAGTGTTAAACATGTTGCTACGTCAGAAATAAGTCTGCAACCAGATTTCAAAAGTTTTGTATCAATTGAAAATTTCAAAAATTCACTTTCACTTGCACATCAGGAATTTTAGAAAATTTATTAAATGTATTTAAAGATAAATAAATGGATGTTGTATATCGTGGATTTACTCGAAGAAAAAAATTGGCAAATATGTCTTTGAACTAAACAAAATGCCCACCGGTAAGGACCGTTCATAGATTAAAAAAAATGGCGCAATAATTTCCAAAATTCAAAAGTATGTAATTTGTAATGAATTATGTATAGTTTTGATTATTTTCTTAAAAACTCAGATTGACATCAAATTAAATAAAAGAATGAGGTTCAGCGTTATAAATTGTAAAATAAATGTGTTAAGATTTTTGTCCATAATAATTATTCTGGTATAAATATACTTTTTTATAGAAACTTCTTTATTATAATTCGAGAGAGATATAAACAGATTATTAAAGGATGTTTATTATTAGGATAAATTTATAATTAGCCACAGATGTGTACTTACTTTATGTCGATGTTAACATTTCTTTTAAAAAGATGATTTTTTAAATTCCAGAAAAAAGTCTAAAACTTTAGGAAGGGCATCGTCGTGAATTATAAAAAAGTTGGAATCATCAGAAATCTAGGGTTTCAACTCGATCAAGAAAACAACTGTTCGCACATTTTACGCAAGTTTGCTCGTGGTTTGCATATTTTGATTTGTGCAAAATTCCTCTAATTCAAAAGTATGTATTCTAGAACTAATTTCCGCTATCGTTTTACGCAAAACTTTATGATAACGAAGTCAAACCTTATAGAAATCTAACGTATAGAAACCGCTACGTATAGCAACAAGGCGTATTTCTCGGGAGAACATTTTTTATATTTTTGAGAAATTAAATAATAGGTGTAAAGTAGATATAATTTTCATAAATCCTTTTATTTAAATGGTAAAACGGAATTTTATGAAATCATATTAGCATTACTAGAGAACTTTTTTTATACTTTTAAGAATTTTTTTCTAAAAAGAAAACTGTAGATAGCATTTTTATAAAATATTTTTTAATAGTAACACGCAATTTTATGTATAACCATTTAATCATTCATTTATGTTGTCAGTACATAATAAACTCTGGGGGACCTTAAACACAATAGAGAGCAGTACAAATGTACATATTAAACTATTTTGCTCCTTTAATGTCTAGGTTATGTTAGAAAAAATAGAAATTATGATAATGATAATAATAAGCTACAATGTTTTACAAAAATGTTTAATATCTCAAAAATATAAAAAATGTTCTCCCGGAAAATACGCCTTGTTGCTATACGTAGCTGTTTCTATACGTTTGATTTCTATAAGGTTTGACTTCTATGATAACAAATTGTGCAAAACTTATTCCGATCCGTAATTTTATGTGAAATTCTGAACAATAGAGAACAAAGAGGAGAGAGAGGGGGGTTGAGGAGGTGGAGGGGGGGGGATAAATGACGTCAATAGCTCCAGATTTGTATCTGTGTGAGATTTAGTTGTTTATTGAACATACATATTGGATTGTATGAAGGGAGTGCTATAATAAACCTTAAAGCTTGAATAGGCAATCTTGATTTCAGATTTCAGATGGAAAATTGTAAATGATTGTTCAATATGAGTAGAACTAAGGAGAGAGGGGTAAGAGGGGAGGGGTTTGTTCACATTTACTGTGACGTAGCAGTAGAAAGATCACAATTGAAGGTCGTCTTTAACCGTTAACAAAATTTGTGGCATTTATTTGTAAACCTAATTTTTAAAGTAAAATCCTACCTGTAAAAGAAGGTTGACAAATGAAATCTGCAAATAATTTTAAAGATCAAAGACGACAAATAAGTCGTCTTTCGACTGTCAAGTTTCGTGGGACACCCTGTATCGCGAGAGCTCGGAACCAGTTCTAGTTTATTGTAAACAATAACTAAAATAGTATACAAGTCAACATTTTGCTAAGCTGTCTCTAAAACAGGGTTACTCACAAAGAATGAGACTTCAAAGACGACTGTACGGAATTTATATTATTAATTTAACCTGCATAGTGTAGATCACAGTTTTTTTATCCTTTCTGATAGTTTTCCCCCTTAAAATTGGTCATTTCGATGGGTGTGATTGAGACAGAAAGCGATGTCATGTTGATTGTTGGGTTACAAGTATGGAACCAAGGATGTAATGCAAGGAAAGTTATTTCAGAAGTGCACACATCTTTTGTACTGTCTCTGGGCGCTAATGTAAACACAAGACGGATCCAACTTTCACATAAAAAAATCAATGAAATATTCTGGTCATAGGAAACTATTATGTGAATTATCAAAATTTAATGTATTTAACCTCCTCTGATAATAAACGAACACTGATGCATCTATTCTTGTTTACAAAGTTTAGTTAGACAGTTTAAACATTTTGGCAAAAAAACTACAGACTTTTGATCTAAATACTTATTTAAAATTGAGTTTTGACATATATTTCATGTTTTGGTTAGTGTACAACTTCTTACACTGTACAGATATGTACAAATATACAACTTAGAATTGAATTAAATTCCTTTTAACCTTGAAAAATAGACGAATATTTACCGAAAATATAATGTTGAAAAAAATGCATAATTTTGATATTAAATTATTAAGTTTAAGGTTGTTAAAGGGGCTTTATTGGTATATTCAAGTGATACTTTATTTATTGAGTGGTATATCACATTCACAAAGGTACTTTTTAAACTTTTATCAATTATGATTCATAAATCTGCAAAACACTCTTATAAAGAACAACAACTAAAAAGAATTAATTTTCAGATAGAAAGACTATCTCATTTACCAGTGATTAACCTAAGTTTTAAAGCGTACCATTGTGAATCATATATGACATCCTTAAAATGCAGGATCACTTGAAACTACGTTTACAGTCCTTTTTAGCGCATCAATATTAACCTGGGCGACATCAGAACATGCTTTATGAGGTAAACAATTATATTCACTAGATTTTGACACTTAATTCACTAGATTTGTATGTACACTGTACACATATTTAATGGGAAGCACAACTTTCACTCTTATCTATATGTACAACGGCCGCACGTGTGCATTGTACCATCTATATGACTGAACAAATATGTACACTTAAAAGTCTAATAAACTATCATGGAGAAAATTCAAGTTTTTAGCACTAAAAATTGGCAGGAAAGATCAGTGTAAAATGTAATTTTTGCAAAGTTTTTGCAAGTTTTCAATCATTTTAACAATCGGTTTGTTTTGGTTGGGGTCGGGTTAGTTTCTCTTTTTCTTTAACTTCTTGTCCTTCTTGATCTTGTATTTTCTGTTCCTCTGGTTCAACTGAATATTTTTAGTTTTATTTTCTACTTTAATTCAATGTTTATTTATCATTTTATTATTTTTATAAGACAGCTGACAAAATTTTACTTTAAATAATGATGTTCTTTAAGTTAAACCTAATATATTGCAATTTTAGTTAAGGATAATTTTTTTTTTTTATAGAATAATTAAATCTTTAACCTTCATCGTCGAATTCTAAAATCTCAGAAATGGATCGAACTGGAAGCCGTACATGGGATCGCCTAGAAATAGAAAAACGTTTTATTTCAGACTGATTCAATTTGATCCCACCACTAGTTCTCGTACGTTAGCTTTTATGCGTTGCCATCTTTTTTTAAATCCTTTTTATAATTAATACAAATGATAGAATGGTCGGATGCAAAACAAGCAGAAACTAAAAGGCGATTTTAAAAAATTCTAAAATTTTGAAAAATTTGAAACCTGGGAGTCTCCAGCTCCTCCTGGGTATCTCCGTTCTCCGTCTTCAACCCATTGACGAGATTCCGCTGCTCCGTGCTAGAGTTTATACTCCGCTGTTTAGCGAATATTTTATTGTTCTGAATCTCCTGTTGACAAGAAATCATTTTTAGAAATAAAAAAAAAAAAAATTCAATGATTTACAAAAATTAATGCAAAATCGGTAATGGACAAAATATTTAAATGGTGAACAAGCACAAGAAACATGGGAATCAGAGACGTTTTATTTAAATGACAAAAAAAGTGTATTAAAACATTGCACATACATGTGTGTTTCCAAAATTGGCATTTAAATTTTTTCAATTAAAGATTTAAATTAAGGCAAGTTGTTGTCCATTTGAAGGTTCAAAAATGGCATACCACATTTTTGAACTTCTTAGACTAAATGTCGTCCATGTATAATTGTTTTAAATTTTGATACTACAAAAATTGCTAAAAAAGTCGTCAATTGATTCGCTTATTTATATTGATCTGTATTGATTACATTATTTACCTGTATCCAGATAGGACTGGAGAACCTCGGAACCGAACTCTCGTTCTCATCCGACTCATCTGATAGGTTTGGTTCCTCCGGAGCCAGTAATCTATCCAGCTCCGGCTCTGGCTCCGTTCTATCCTCCCGGAGGTTCTCATTGTTGTCTGTATTACAGGGTTTAGAATCAACTAGCTCGGGGTCCTTTTTCTCTGTTTTATTTTTCCTAAAACATATTCACAGTGATTTAATTGTCAACTTTGATTATTTCACAACAATTTAGATGTCCCAACTTTTGGAATTTATTTTGCCAGAATAAATCTATAATACCTATCATGTATGTAAAAAGAAATCTGCTCATAATGAAAAAGTGAGTCAACTGTTTTTTTTAAGATCAAGCACTTTATCACTTCATAATCAAAAGTTTAACCGTGGGTCTCATTCAAAAGTTCGATGATTAAATATACGGTTTTGAGGTAATAATTTTCGACTTAGTTTTGTATACCCGTTAAATGTTTTATCTTTCTGTTTCTTATTTATACTTTATATAATTGTGCAGTGTTCTCCTTTAAATAAAAGTTTGACGGTCAATGTTTTACGGATTAAATCTAATTTACAAGAATGCTATTAGCCTGATGTTAAAATCTCAAAATATGTTAAAATGGTTTAACTAAATGGACCAATTTTAATTTGTGTGCAGTTTAACCCAGTATTTCGGACATATCTAAAGAATTTGTAAAATGTAGTCTTGAATATTTTTCAATGGTGTTTAACTCTGAGAATCATATAACAAAGGATTATACCTAAATCACAGAAATTGTAAATAAAAAGTTTTAAAGAGCTTCAAATAACTTTTTGATAAAAAAACTAATAACTAAAGATCAAGGTTGCCCCACAGAAGTATAAATTAAGATTTATGAAAATAGGCGCAAAGCACCAGAGATTTCAAGTAACAATAAAAACGGATTTAGATATTTCAATGTTTTAAACCCAACCTTATATATGCATAAATCAAACTTAGCATGGATAAACACATTTAATCTTGAATAGTGGGGTTGGGGNATACATATCCAACGCCTAGTGAACATGTTATTTTTTGTTTAAACCTGTTTCTACAGCAGAGACAGACAACCAGGATGATAAGAAGGAGAAGGATTGCTCCTATACCTGCAGCTATACCTAGATATTAAAGGGACTGTTAACATAATTTCAACTGACTCTTCATCTATATTCAATAGCGTGTTCGATTCATAACTGTGCCCTTTAAACCTAAACGTTGTCAAAAATTATAGAGTAATTCCTATTTTTCCATTTCAAAACTGATTATTTTCAATTAAAGTTATCTTCTTGATTATTAATCTCATGAATGGCTACAGGATACCGTTGTGAATCGGCCATATAGTTTCACCTGTAAATACGTTGACAGTTCCTTAAAGATAAAATATAACTTAAATTCTTCAAATTTATCTTCAAGCAAAAACGCTGCATTTAAATTCTATATTTCAGCATTTTACAATTTTCTCAGCTATTTTATCACAAATCTACAATTTAGTGCTTTGCATAATTCAATATGTTGGAGGGGACAACTACATTCTGCAATCTGCATCGGTTTTTAAAGCAAATAAACTGTGTTCATCGAGTTCTGCAAAAACTATTTACAGTATTGCAAGAGTCTGTTTACTGTACTGCAAATTTGTTTACTGAACTTCAATGTTTGTTAACTGTACTGCAAGGCTTGTTTACTGTGATGCAAAAACAGTTTAATTTTCTGCAAGAGCAGTTTACTGCAATAACTGTTTATTGTACTATAACTTGCAAGTTTTTGTGCACTGAACTGCAGAAACAGTTTACTGTACTATAGAAACTGTTCACTAAACTGCAAGGTATTATTTCCAATAAAGCAAAACTGTTCACTGTACTGCAAGGTATTGTTTACTGTACTGCAAGGTATTGTTTACTGTACTGCAAGGTATTGTTTACTGTACTGCAAGGTATTGTTTACTGTACTGTAAGATATTATTTACCTATGAGTATATCATCAGAAAGTCCCAGAACCATAACTGTTGGTGGAAGAGTAGTGTTTTCTACTTTCTTTAATGTCGTCGTTTCAGTAACAGTTGTGCTACTTGAACTGAAATATGGAAATTTTTTCAATTTGCAACAAAAATATGATTAGAGTTAACGAAATTACTTCAGGACTGTGGTTTTTATGCATACAGTGCATCTAACACACACTCCACTCCGAGCCAGTACAACATGTACTGTTTTTGCATCCTGTTGTACTGTCCAGTCTGGACTATTCAGCACGTTTTACGTAACAACTGTAGCCTGTGTACATATTATTTATAAATCTAAATTTGTATTAATATCTCTCCCAGAAACTGCAGTACATTACTTTGTAAACAAAGTTAAGGGGTTTACTTTACCAACCTTATTGATGAAAATGTGGTTGTTTTTGTTGTTGTTGTTGTTGTCGTCGTTGTTGTTGTTGTTGTTGTTGTTGTTGTTGTTGTTGTTGGTCTTTGTATGCATTCAGGACTTATCGGCTCATCTAAGTATAGATTTTTATATTGAAAATGTTTTCTAGTATTGGAAAATATTCCATTTTAGACAATTATTAGGTGTTGAGTTCAATTTGTTATGATTTAACTTTATTTTCATTTTTTCCATCCTAGGCAATATATTCAGAATATTTTAAATTTGTTCCCAGGAATTCTGTGTTCAATGAAGTGGAAATTTGATTAAAATTGTTTGTTAGAATTTTACACTTAAAAGATTGTTCGCCAAAATATGAAAGGTTAGTGTTTTGTCAATCTTTTCTATCATTTATGAATTGTATCTATATAATAAAACAAGACATTCTTATATATATATATGTTGCCGATAGCTGGCCAAACGGGTGAACCGATTGGGCTAAATTATTCTGTTGACACGTACTCATGGGTGGCCGGGAGGTGTCATAGGCTAAAAAATCGTTTTTTTAACCATTTTTTTCTTCAAAATTTCTTTTTCAAATTTTTTTTCCACGGGTAACGCCGGGCCCTTCAGCTAGTTTGTATATATTTTGCTTGTATGTCTAAAAAATATCGAAATTAATTATTAATAAATTAATGCACCAATTTAAACAGAAAAATCCGCATTTTTAAAAGACTTTTTTGTAAATACCAACATGAAAAAAATGCCAACAGAAAGAGGAACTTTTTAAAGTTAAAAATGTAAATAGAAAATATATAATCTATCTATATGCCAAGCGGTCTTAACTTCTGCATGAAAAATAGCTAATCTAAAAGTATTTACGCCTTTTTAAAAAAAAACAGGTTACTCATATTTTCTATATCTCTTATTGAACGAGAAGTATTTAGTAGCTCAAGGAACCGGATTTAATGAATGCGAGAAGTAGTTGAACCATGTACCAACGGTTCAACCAGTTCTCGATTGTGCGGCGAGTTAACCACGTCTTGCTATTGATTAAATGACTTAATTCATTAGATAACAAACGGTACGGATTAGTGCGATCTGAGAGGATTAAAATACCTTATTTATTTTTAAGATTAAAAAAAATTTATCGGAAATATTTCGAATTGAAAGATGGCTAATTTTGGATAGTGCCGTGCACTGTTCATATATTTCTATATAGTTATGCATTATGTATAATGAAAATAAGTTAAAAATATTCAAAATTTCTAAAAACTATCTCAGTACCTAGCAATCTATTACAGCTTATATACACCTTTTTGCCATCTTTTGCTGACACGACCTGAAAAATAAGTTTATAATTTTAAATAATATTAAAAAAACATGGCTATGGTCAACGTTTATTAACTTGAAAAGGGAATAATTAAGTAAAAGCTTATCTCGTATTTATATAAATAAAATGTCTAACCTTTATAACGTTTATATTGAATTCATTGTTAATAACTGCAACCTCCTCTACTCCCTCAACCTCGATGGAACTGAAACAAGAAATTATGAAAATTGCAGTCTTTCCATGTTTTTTCAATTATCATAATAAAGGTTGGACCAATCGGACTTAAATTTTTTGTGAACACTCATGATGGGATGCCAAGGGTAAAAAAATTCAAAATTATTTTTTTTTCAAAATTTGTTTTTCTTCAAAATTATATTTTTTTCCACGGGCAACGCGGCTCTTCATCTAGTTATTTTTTTTAAGTTGTTTTTCTTTTTACAATATAAAATAATAAAGTTTTCATTCTCTAATGGAAACCATTAAAACTCATTGCACATTAATATCCAAGGAGAACACATTAATTACCGTAATTACTTTAATTGGTTTGCAACAATAATGATCTTGGTCATCTTATAGAAGGGAGGGGGGGGACTAATAGAAATTTTTTTATTTCTAAGGCTCTAAAATTATTTAAAAACGTTTTGAATGTTCTATATTTTTTACCAGTGTCTACAATGAGAGCCATAAAATATCGGAATTCTCGTTTTATTCTATCTATCTATTCTTATTGCAAAAAAAGTTTAACAATGAACAAAACTTAAAACCCTCTGCTGCCAAAACGCTGCAATACATTTTGAGGTTAATAATGCTAAAATCTGCAACATTGTCCAACATTATTTGTTGCACTTTTTCCTTACAAGAAAATATTTAATTTTCATTTCTTTTTTTCAAACTGGTTTTTTAGTTGAAAAATAAGATTTAAAAGATTAACTTTCATTAGTTTATCATCAACATGTGTTTTTAGCATGTTTGTTTATAAAACATAATAATTTGAATTTGTCAGAAATTAATAATCTTTTATTTGAGAAACTTTTAAATCATTAATGCATAAGAAAATTAGGGAGGGATGGATTTAGTTTTTGATAATTAACACCCACCTAGCTCTGTAGTCTATATAGACAGCTAGATTTTAAATAAAATTGAAATGAATAAAAAAATGTGTTGAAATAAATCTAATTTGATAGAAAGAAAGATAAATAAATGATTAAAGACCTTTAACCTTTATCTAAATATGAATCTAAATTGATCAAAATATATCAAATAAACTACAAAATTATGAATTAAAAATAAATTAAGCTGAAAAAGGTAGAATGAATTTAATTTGAATTTGGCTTCTGTTTTTAGTACAGTGTTCTTACGAAAATAATCAATTAAAAAAACGTTTGCATCAAAATAGTTTTTTTTAAAAGAGAGAGTTTCTTTCTAAAGTTAACATTTTTATCATTGGCATAAATCACATGTTAAAAGTAACGTAATTTTTGTTTACATTTTTGCTGACTTATACATTTATCTTCTTGAACCGAAGTATACTTTAAATATATCGAATCTGAATTCCCATGAATTTATTACATGAAACTTCTTAATTGATTGATTGACTATTGTTAACTTCCATGTGCATTTAATGGCGAGCATCTCAAATGTTTATAGATGGTCCAAAATTATATATTGTATTAATTTCACCAGTTAAATGAAGGTCTTCTGCATTTGCTATTTAGTTTTTTTGTTGAACTTTTTTCATGTTTTGTATTTAGTATATCTTTGCATAATCACCACCTTTACCCAACATCACTTTCCTTCCTTTTACGCCTTATATCCCCCTTCCTTCCCCCTCCTTACCCTTNCTTCCCCTCAGCCCTATTCTCCTTTCCCCCCTTTCCTTTATTAACATTTATTCAATAATTTATTTTTCAATTCCCCACTACCCTGAGTTCTACCATTTAAATACAAATCAATACACATCTTTATTTTTAAAATTTAAATTATTACTACTTTTACTACCTTCTATTTACCTCACATAAAGCTAATGTGAAAAATAAGGCATTTTATACATACAGCCCCCTTTTCCCCCTTACCCCTATATTATTTATTACCTCTCCTGTGCCCTGGTAAAGGTTGAGTCCCTGATCTCCAGGTTCCTGGTGTTGTGAATTGAGAAGGAGCTGGTGGAGATGAACCCGAACCTGGAACTCGAGATCAAAACCTTCTTCACATTAATAGCACTAATCTAAAAAGTAATAGAGATTAAAAAACTGTTGTATCTTAAATCTGTTCATAATGTGTTCAGACTTCTGCCACCGTGCAATTTAACTAAGTAAAGGACACAGTCATACTTAATTTCAATCATTTAATAATTTTTTAAATTGTAATTCTGCAAAAACTGAACTCTTCCGTGTTCTTAGAATGATATCTTTCTGCTTTTGCAACAATAGAAGTTACATTTTTTTAGAATGAGTAAAACACTTTGATGGATTTTATTGATTACATGGATTATATCATTTTTCATAGAGTGTACATTGCCCCCTGCCCCCCCCCCCCTCACTAAAGCTCTCTAAGGATAGGTACTATAGGTAGAGCTGTATAGACCTAGGACTGGTTTTATATTCATGCATTTTCAGGCACAGAGCAGAAAGAAGACTATACAATATACATTACTTATTAACTCAAGCCAAAACTAAACTAATTTTCTTATAAACAACAAAAGAGTTTTTTTTATAAATTTTGTTCGATAGTTTTCTCTTAAATATGAATATGGTTGAAAAACAACATGATTGCGTCACAAAATAAAGATATTACGTATTGCGTAGGTTTGGCTCGACTGTTTGGACTGTAGAGGTAAATACTAAATATTTATGGACTATGAAGTGTAAGCTTCAGACAGACGAGTGGGGGGGAGGCACTCCTTAGATTCAGGGATTCGATTCTTGATATTTTTTCAAATTTGAAAATAATTTTGCAACTTTTTGTGTCTTAAATTAGATGATAAATATGTTGATTAAAGAAAACATTTCAAGAAAGCAAAAAAAACCTTATGAATCCTTAATTTTGCACTTTACGTAGTAAAAAACATTTTATATATCTCTTAAAATCTTGCATTAGTAAAAAAATCATTTCCTGAAGAGTTATAGAAAAGAGAAACAGTTTCAAAATCCTAAAATTTCAAATCAAACACGTTATTTTTGGTAAAATGGCAAACTCATAGAGGAGTTATGAGGGTGTATATATAACAAGCAAAAATAATTCGTATATTTTCTGAACCTTTATTATACACGCTTAAATACTTAGAGCAATCCCTTTCAAATCAATTAAGAAATCTGATTCATCTGATTATTAGATTTCAGCTGCAGGCTAAGTATGTCAATGGTTTAATAACCAGGTTCAAATTCCAGTATTAGAGATTTAATAAAGGTCATTTTAAGAATCCTGAAAAATATATAAAACCAAAAATAGCAATAAATCAATAATTGTTTATCAAAATTTCAACTTATTTCAAAAAAAGTTGTTCAAAGAGGCAAAAAAAAACTTTAATTTAATCGGTGTAATAATGAAAACACAACATGATAATTTAGAACTAAAAAACATAATCGGTAATACATATGTTGAATACATTAAACATCAATCATATTTTGTGTAATGCTTTAATATCAATTGTAATATGCTTCTTTATTTATTAAAGGGACTGTGTTGTAATTTCAAAGCTGAAAATTACGCCTACAGTTTCTTTAACCTTTAAAAAAGTTTGAAACAAAAATATGAAAATGTAATTCATTCTTGATGAGACGAAGTTTTTAAGGGTACCGTTGTGTATAGGACATGCCATTCTTTCAATAAAAGGTCACATGAAATTACGTTTACAGTCCCTTTAATCATTGTAATAAAGATTAGACAACATGATATTTCAGAATATAAAACTTCAGTGGCCATAAATATGTCAAATACGTCAAACAACATCAGTCATAATCTGTATGTTTTTTCCAACATAGTTGATGCATTTAATTTGCTCCTTTTTTGTTAAAAATAAAAGAATAAACGCGTGAACTTGACAATATTGTAAAATACACTGCACAAAGGAATTTATCAAAGAATTTGCAATTCCAAAAATGTTTTTCACTTTTTAGAAAATCTAAAAATGTTAGAATTATTTCAAAATTGTTTAAATTATACTATCGCGATTCGTAATACTCCGGGTTACCCACAAAGAATGAGCCAGCAAAGACGACTTAAAACTCTTAAAATATGACTTTTCAAAGATTAAATTAAGTCTTCTGCCTTGAATGTGGCCTTGAAATATCTTATTTAATGATTTGGCAAAGAAAAAAAAGGAGTTTTTAGTTTCAGGTATATGGTGTCATTGAGATAAGGAAATAGACAGTTTAAATTCTGTACAGTCGTCTCTGAAGTCTCGTCCTCTGTGGGTAACCATGTATGATTTTCATATTAGTAAAAATATTTATTTAGATTTTTAAAATACATTATTAAATCCATCCAACATTGCACAAAACTGTTTTCGTATTCCAAGAAGTGTAAAGATGTTCTACAAAAAGTTATTTCACGATTGGTATGCTTAACTTATTCTATCCTAATTTGCTTTTATTCAATTTAAAAAAACATGTTTGACATAACTGTATCATACTCGCGCGCACTGCATAGTGTCTCAAAGTTTATTTAGGTTTTCAAAAACGTTTTAGAATGTTTCGTAATATTTTTATGTTAGTGCATGTAATTTGCTTCTTTTTTGTTAAAACTAAAAAAAATGTTAAACCATGTTCTACATCACTTATCACACTCACACTCTCACGAAACACAGCTAGTGCACAAAAGAATTTATCAAAGATTAAATGTTTCTAAAAACGTTTGTCAATATTTTAAGCAAAATTCTTATTAAGATCATCATGTTAAGTTCTCTTATCCTAATTTGCTTTTTTCTTCAGTTAAAATTTAAATAAAAAATATATCACTGTATGCTTTCAAACACCATGCACAAAAGAATTTCTCAAAGATTAGAAAGGTTTCTAAAAAAAAATTTTGAACGTTTTATAAAATTTATTTCAGAATTGTCATGTTTTATACGTTCTCTTATTGATGGCCGGGGACTAACTGTATTTTATCGGATAAAATATGATAGATTCCTGTTACTCTGTGCCTGAACTCATTCCAGGACTTTCTACGATATCTTGACATATTTAGGCCTAGGCTCGTTTTTTCAATGATAAGAAAAACATGAAAATCTTCTTTAAAAAGTAATAAGTTTTTTTACGTGTAGTGTATTTTTGGAAATACTAGCATTATACAATCTTTTTTAAATGAAAGGAAGTGCGGTTGATAATAATTAACTTTGTAAAAGCATACATTGTGTAGCTAATAACGATTGGGAAAAAATAACATTTAACACATTTTTGAGATCCAAGCAAGGAAAAGCATAGCAGATAATGAATAAAAAATAACATTATCTGAAAAAATTATCTGAATCTGTAGCTATGCAATTTTTTCAGATGTGATCATGTGAGAGTGTTGTTTTTGAAGATTGGAATTCAATGTCGTCTTTTCTTTAATCAAGTAATAATTGTTTCTTAATTTGAAGAAAATTATAAAAAAAAAGTCTTTTAAATTACAAAACGGGAACTTTTTCATTAGAAGGTTCGGAAAATTGTGATTTTCTGAATCATTGATTATTATCAACGGAGAACCTGCAGACGGGACGGGGGCGGATACAAGATTAAAAAAGTATGAAGCTGTCCAGACACAGACAGGGTCAGGACGGATGATATATTTGTAGTTTGTGACGAGTTTAGGGAAAGCTATAAATGACCCTTTAATCTTTTATTGACAGATGAATCCGCCCTTGGCCAATAAAGTACTGCAGAGATCTACGTAGTACTTGGGCCAAAGAAATAGTGGGTTTTAGTTGAGAGTGCGCAAGAAATGTCAATCATCGTACTGTACCTGTACCTGTACCTGTACCTGTACCTGTACCTGTACCTGTACCTGTACCTGTACCTGTACCTGTACCTGTATAGGATCTGGTATATTGACCCTCTTGAAGTGTACTGTCTCAACATTACTAAAGTTAAAGCTGATATTCTGCCGGCCGGTCAATTCAGGGTCAAGGTCAACCAGGTCTAGGGTCACCTTACCAGAGTTCCTGGAGATACAGAGATATAGAACATTAATATTTTTACCGATCTAATTCAATAATTAATAGGTATCACCCTAACCCTCTGTTTTGTCCTCAGTAAACTGTTTTTCAAACATTGTTGACGCATTTTGTAGGTCATTCTTAAGAATTAGAACAAAATGTGTGTTTGTTAGATAAAGTAAAACATTCCTAATTTATTTTTTGTACATTTCGCATTTTGCACAGTATAAAAGCATGCATAATTTATTATATTTGTTCTGAACAAATAAATACAATTTTCTATTCTATAGAAAATATATCTTTTTACTTTTTTACTTCATCTTTGAGTCATGACTATCCTGACTGGTTTATTTTGCTGAACTAGTATTTTTTATCCAATTATACTTTCTAAAGATTAATCAAATCACACAAGCCTTCAAAAGAAAGAGCCGAAGGGGAGTAGAGGGGGGGGGTGAAGAAGGTTGGAGGCAGTAAAGGGTGAGGGGGGGGGTAGAGATGAAGATAGCTTTTTTTAAATCAAAGTTGTCTTACCTAAAGGATGCTCAACATATACATAAATCTGGAAGATTAATCGAATATTAAAACTATAAGAAAAATTTATAAAAGTGATAACTGAAAAGGGTTCAATTAATGAAAGGAACTAAGGATCAGAAAAGGTATACTGAAAGGAACCAAGGATTAGGAAAGGAATACAGAAAGGGATTACCTGATTAGGAAAGGTACACTGAAAGGAACTAAGGATCATGAACGGTATTCTGAAAGGAATTACCTCATACAGAAAGGTATGCTGAATGGAAGTAAGGATAAGGAAAGGTATACTGTGAGGAACTAAAGATCAGGAAAGGTATATATATACTGAAAGAAAATACCTGATAAGGAATAGTAAACTGAAAGGATTTACCTGATTATGAAAGATATAATGATAGGAATTACTTGATTAGGAAAGGTATAATGAAAGGAATTACCTGAATAGGAAAAGTATACTGAAAGGAATTACCTGATTAGGAAAGGTATACTGAAGCAATTACCTGATTAGGAAAGGTATGCTGAAAGGAATTACTTGATTAGGAAAGGTAAACTGAAAGGAATAACCTGATTAGGAAAGGTATACTGAAGGGAATTGCCTGATTAGGAAAGGTATACTGAAGGAATTACCTGATTAGGAAAGGTATACTGAAAGGAATTACCTGATAAGGAATAGTATACTGAAAGGAATTACCTGATTAGGAAAGGTATACTGAAAGGAAATACCTGATAAGGAATAGTTTACTGAAAGGAATTGCCTGATTAGGAAAGGTATACTGAAAGGAAATACCTGATAAGGGATAGTTTACTGAAAGAAATTACCTGATTAGGAAAGGTATACTGAAAGGAAATACCTGATAAGGAATAGTTTACTGAAAGGAATTGCCTGATTAGGAAAGGTATACTGAAAGGAAATACCTGATAAGGGATAGTTTACTGAAAGAAATTACCTGATTAGGAAAGGTATACGGAAAGGAAATACCTGATAAGGAATAGTTTACTGAAGGGAATTACCTGATTAGGAAAGGTATACTGAAAGGAATTACCTGATTAGGAAAGGTATACTTGAAGGAATTACCTGATTATGAAAGATATAATGAAAGGAATTACCTGATAAGGAAAGGTATACTGAAAGGAATTACCTGATTAGGAAAGGTATACTTGAAGGAATTACCTGATTAGGAAAGGTATACTGAAAGGAATTACCTGATAAGGAAAGGTCTAATGAAAGTAATTACCTGATAAGGAAAGGTATACTGAAAGGAATTACCTGATTAGGAAAGGTATACTTGAAGGATCAACTCCGAATAGATCTATACTCAGCAGAAGATCTGGACAGTTTTGTATCTGTACATGGCGAACCTGAAATAATGTACAAATATTTACTCAAATATGTACAACTTGTATTGTACATTGTATATGTGAATATTCAAATATGTACAACTTATGTTTAAAAATGTGCACTGTAAAATGTGTATACTAAACAGCACTGAAAAAAAAGAGCACACTATACACTGTATACATGTATATTGCAAGTAAATATTTAGTTACATACAAGTTTACAATTTAATATTTTAAATGTTACTAAAAAATGAATCCTCCCAATTTTATCGGATTATTCAAAACTCAGAGCTATAAACAAGTACAATAGTCGAGAGTACAACAAAAGAAAGGGGGATAGAATTTGTTCACAGTTTACTATGCCAGATGAATAGATTACGAATGACTTGGCGAAGGGATGATTAAAAAGAATAATGAAAGGATGAATGAATAAATAGATGAATAAATGAATAGATGAATAATAGAATAAATGAAGACACGAATAAATGAATAGACGAATAAATGAATAGGTGAATAGATGAAATGGTGAAAGGCAGGATAGATAATTATATGAATAGATGAATATATGAAATGGTGAAAGGCAGGATGAATATTGAATGGATGAATAGATGAAAGGGTGAAAGGCAGGATGAATATTGAATATATGAATAGATGAAATGGTGAAAGGCAGAATGAATATTGAATGGATAAATAGAACTACTGTATCCAAGCAACTGCTTTGTACACTATGATTACAAATTATTACAACCATAAATTATATTTTAATCTTTAGATTTGCATACAATGAATAAACATTAACCTTTTCCACCGTAACAAAATTAGAACAACCATAAAACTGCTCTTTCAACTCTTTCTCATAGACTTCCTGGATTCACCCCTTCCCTCCCAGACCCCCTTCCCCTCAGCCCTATTCTCCTTTCCCCCCTTTCCAGGGGAGGGGCGGGTGGAAAAGGGAGGGGGCTGGTATAAAAAGGGGGGGTAGAGAATAGATAGGGAGGGGAATGGAAGTATAATTGCCCTAATTACTACAATTTTGAGCTAAACTCAGATCTCGCAATAACATCTTATTTAATTCTATGCAGTGCAAAATTACTCAAAAAAAAATTTAACTGAATATAAACTTCAACAAAAATCTATAATGTAAAAATGTTTTATTTTCTGAAATTGTTGAAAAATATTTTGCACTGGTGAGATTTGGTGCCCGGAGCGATAATATTAAGAAGAATGAAGAATGAAGATAGCGCTCAAAACATTCAAAATATTTACACGGACCAATTACAAGAGTCGAAATATAATGATTGAGTGAGATAGGAATTGTATATTTAACGGGTAAGTTAATGCCTATGTATTGTTTAACACAAAAAGGAGGCAAAAAGTAATTTTGTGATATTTAGAATTTACTATTTTACATGTTTTGATATGTTGAGAAGCTATGTGGGTATATCGATATCCTCCCCCTCCCCATCCCTCCCTCCCTCCCTCCCCCGAAATCATTGATTTGTTCCATTTAAAGAGTTACATGATCGATTCCCTTTAACCTTTTTCGGAGCAAAAACTATAGAGAAAAACTACTTTTATATCACTTTATTCTGTTTATCCCTGTATTCCCCTAAGAAGTGTATGTAGGTTCCCAAGCTAGTTTTTAAATTAAACTACTTTTATATCACTTTATTCTGTTTATCCCTGTATTCCCCTAAGAAGTGTATGTTGGTGTCTTTATCTCTTGCAAAACACCTGGATTCCCGGCACGTTTCCCGTTCCTCATTTCTTATTTGACATTTTTAGTAGAGAAGTCAGCTTACGATAATTTTGTTCAAAATTTTGACAGGGTTCCAAAGATTGCATGTATTATATGGGCGTTAACAAAATTATGACCTAAACCTGGAAACATGGAAAATACATAAATTCTAGACCAAAACTTTACAGCTTTATAATTTGTCATTTTGTTTATATTTTTACTGCTCCAGGACATGTGTAGAAGAATTTTAACAACTGCTATAGGCATATTCACATTTTCACAAGCTTTCAGGAATTTTTTTCAAGAAAAATAATCGAAACATATTTGAAATATCTTTTGCCAAACTTTTCATGAAACGGACTGTCCACGGAATTCCATTTGACCCCAATTTTCTGCACGGAAAAGTGTTTCATTCTGACAATTCTCGCAGGTCACTTTGAGTTATGAGAGAGTCACAATTGAAAATAATTAATTTTTGAGAAAACAAAATGAATAATTTCATGGTGCGAGACTCTAGAAATGGTGTTTTTTTTTACAGTTTTTTTTTACATCCCCCCCCACCCCATCTTGATAAAAGCTCCGCCCTCCCCTCCAGCTACAAGACAGCACGGATAATATATATTTATTACAATTTGTCAAATATCTGAAATTTTTGCCTGGATTTAAGGACACTTGTTTGACAAGACAAATCTTCCAGGAGAAACAGAGAATTTTAGCAACAAATATAAAAGATAAAAACAAAGGTTAAAGGAACTGTAGACCAAATTTTCAAAGTGGCATATCCAAAAAACTTTGCCTGACCCAAGGTAATAAGGCAAGGAAAGTTAATTGCTGTTGCGTATTCTCTGCGTACATAATGAAACCAGTTTTCTCTGGGCAGTGTTTGTAAACAAGAATAGATGTATCAATGTTTGTTTAGTATCCGAAGAAGATAAAAGCATTTAATTTTGATAATTCACATGATAGCTTCCTATGACCAGAATATTTCATTGATTATTTTTTTTTGTGATAATGGATCCCATGTCAGACTGTGACATCCATCTTGTGTTTACTTTACCACCCAGAGACAGTACTCTGCACTGTACAAAAAATGAGTACACCTCTGAAATAACTATCTTTGCATTTTAATTCTTAGACTTTTTTTGATTATTTTCAAATACAGTTTCTCTGTTAAAGAGTCTGGCAGATCATTGTTGCAGAGACAACAAAGGACATTTTCAAATTCAACGACGATAGCTTCCGAATTTGTACTCAGAAAAAGGTTTATATGGTACCGTTGTGAATCGGACATGCCAATCCTTATCAAATTTATGTTTTCAAACCGTGTCTCCTACCTCTGTTCCAAAAAATTATGCTCAGTTCCTTAAAAATTTAATTTTGAGAAGAAGAATGTTTTGTTCTTCAAGATGTTTATC